ATTTTTTAAAATATTTTTTTTTAAAAAAAAGGTTATAAAATTAAAACAACTGGTAACAACGTAACTGTAATTTTGTCATTTTAAAGCAACACGAGTGTAACATTTTTCAATTTACACATGGCACACGAATTTACATACACAAGAAACATATTTTAACTCACAAATGTGTCAATCGTGAAAAAAGGAATGAGGAAAAAAAAAAAAAAAAAAAAGTGGGAAGAAGCAATAAGTACAACAAACAGCTATACATATGTGCCGATATTATGTGTGCCCTTCGTTGTGCTTCCTCTGCTGCGAGGTAGGTGGTCCTTTTAGGGGGTAAAACTTGGGATGGCACTACCGTCCAAGCTCCGTTCACCAGTTGCGCGATTAACGCGACTATCCGTTTCGTTTCGCGTTGTTTTGCGCCATTTCGCTGCGTTCCTTTTATGTGGCTTTTTTACCCTTAATTTGGTGTAGGGTTCACGAACAGCGTGCAACGAAATATAGGGAAACAAAACCCTGATGCTCTGTTGACGATGTTAACGGCATTCTAAAATGACCACAGAAATGGGCGTTACACTTGGCATAACCCGACGTGAGCTAGTGGGTCGCTCCATCGTCTCAGCAGTTGACACAATTTGACGGACGTCCCCCCTTCGCCCCAAAAGCGTACCTTCAACTCATTTGATATCTTTTCCATGTGCCCATTTCCGCACCTACGCTCGTCACTCAGAGGAAGCCTTCTTCAAGTATTCAATCAAATCCGCTCTTTCCTTTTCCTTCTTGATACCAGCAAAAATCATTTTCGTTCCTGGGATGTATAACTTAGGGTTCAGTAGATATTCATACAAATGCTTGTCCGACCAGATAATGCCCGAGTTTTTATTTGCATCCGAATATGGGAAATCCGACTCTCCAGATTTTCTGCCGTAGAACCCGTGTAGGTTAGGGCCCTGCTTTGCCGCTCCGCCTTTTTAAACAAATGGTGAGAAGGCAAGAGGGGGGTGGAACGGAAAATAAATACATGCGTATGATGCACATACAGTTGCTGTGGGAGGGTGTCCCCCACTAAGCATACCTTTCCTCTCACGGGGATGTACACCCCCCAAACACAAACGGAGGTACACACAATAAACAGATGATCACCTCCACTTACCTTTATTTATCGTGTGGCATTGCGCACACTTGGCCTTAAAAAGCTTGGCACCCTTTTTGTAGTCACCCTCAGGGACGTCTACTTTCGGTTCTGGCCTTATCTGAGACATGGCTGTGCTGTTTTCAAAAGGAAAATTTTTTAATTAGGAAAGAATGCGCAATTAAGGTTAAAAAGGTGTGCGCTTAAGTCTGGAAGAGATTCTACAATGGGGCCGACGCTGGTTGGTAATATTGTTGAAAAATGATCTGGTAAAAAAAAAAAAAATTTTAAACATAAAAAAGGATGTACATATGCGAGCTGGGGCGTCCCATAAATGTACTCATTATTTTCGCAAAAAATGTTCGCTTTAAATCTGGGATTTTTTCACTTATTGGCCTCGCTTCCATGTGCGGTGTTTCGTTTTCCCATAAGCTCATGCATGCCTGTTGCGTTCATTACTCTCCTTTTCGCTTTAGCTTTTATAAGCTCCTTCTGCGATTTTAACGGGTTAGCGGGGGGTATGTAGCGTAAGTACATACAGTATTAAAAGCTTGGGGTTCAAAATTTGCAATTGGTTTTAACTTTTCCCGTTCATCTTAATTGGGTGAGGAAACATTTTCGTTTTACAAATAGAGCAAATGAGTAATCTTTCAAAAGGAAGAAATGCTCCTTTTTTTAAAACTATCACGTATATTTATCTTTACTATTATGTTCATTCGGGAAAAAAAAAAAAAAAAAAACACATGTGAGAAACGAACATGTTCACACTTGCTCAACTGTGCATAAATATGGAGAAAGCGTTTTGTGTATTTTAGAAACCTCTTTTTTAACATTTTGCAAATTTCTCCGCTTCGGTGGGCATTCCTGCCGCACAGGGCAATTGGTACTCTCCTCTTCACAAATTTATGCCCGCACAAATGAGTGCTTCGTAGGGCTCCAAGTGGACCATACAGCCATCCAAGCACAACTCATACCGGTACATACGTTATGCGCCACGTAGGCATAACAAAACAAACATAATAACACAAACGTACGCGTCCGTATACTTCTGTATACTTGCGCATAGGTCCAAGGGTTACAGGGGGACACCGATCATGTGCAGAATGACGCCCTGTTTTTGTAGACCATTAAGCGAAAAAAAAAAAAAATTGACACTATTAAATTCTCACACAGGCGTTCTTATTTCGCAATTTACCATTTCGAGTGATTACTTTTCATACTCAAATGGAGCGCATTGTTGAAATGTAATTTTTGTGCATTTTTTTTTCTTCCCCCGCCTCCTCTGCCACACAGTCGAACAAATGAACAGTCGTACAATTCCACCTGCAACAGCTACTCTCAGTAGGAAAAAAATTACATAAAAAGGGTAAATATTGGTACCAAAAAAGGGGTAAAAAAAAAAAACATCTACATAATAGGTGAATTGTACGGTCCCACATTTTTCCCCTCAAAATGGAATAAGAACAAGTATGTAACTAATTTTATTCGTGTGAACGTCTTCACATTTTGCATATTAACATTTAAAAGAAGAAGAGAATACAGCCATTTGAAAAAATTGCATATTGAAATATACCTCCCGCTTACCAGCCTGACACCACCTGTGGCGTCTATCACCCCCTCCCCCCTTGAAACAGTAAAGCGGCACGGAGAATTCACTGTTATTCTTATTTTGTCGTCCCTGGATTGTTACACCTTCGCATTCGTTCCAATTAAATCGCTTCCTAACAAGTGGTGAAAGAAAAAAAAACTTAATGAAGGGATAATAAAACGGGTAAATGGTCGACCAAAAACCATGCCGTTAAGGCTATCTAAAAAAAGAAGCTCCATTATTCTTTAAATTACTAAAAATGTGATGGCGAAATAATGACAGCGCGACAGCTGCTGATCAAACTTTGCTACCACGAAGACACAGCCTCTCAAAGGTTAACCCCTGCCCGTGCAGACAAAACAAACACATGGAGCAAATGTAACGAAACCTTTTGTCCAAATATGTCTATAGCATCATCAAAATTTTGAAGTGGGCTCCCCTCGAAAGGTGTCCTCTTTGTAAAATTTCAACTGCGTATTTTATAGGTGAAAGGTGCCCAAAAAAAAAATAGCAAAATTTTATTTGCACAGTTCACGAAATAATGATTAATTTCAGCAGGCAGTAAAATTATTTTCAAAGGATCTCCACCCCTTCATATATTCCTAATAAGACATCCATCACGACAAAAATATCGGACGGAAACAATTGGATCATTAAAAGTATGTTCGTTTATGGCTGCTAATTTAAAATACTCCCGAAAAGGCAGTTCACAAATTATTTAGAGCACACGCCTTCTTTATCAGCCGAACACTCATATACCATGTTGTATCCACTGGAACATAATAAGACGAGAAAAATGTTTTCAAAACAGAAGCAAAAAGGAAATAATGCGAAAAACGTGCAGAGTGAGATAATAAGAAGATATAATTGAACCTTCACAAGGAGTAAAAAAAAAAAAAAAAAAAAAAAAAAATGCGTAAGGAGGATTCCTCTTTAAAACGCCATATGTGTAGACACCCACGAAAAAGCACACACCTTCCGGAGTTTTTGTTTTATTTCACGTTAAGGAACAAAAAATGAACCCCAAAGCGGAAGAAGTACAGATAAATAAATAGGAACAGTATTGCTAGCTGAGTATATGTAGAAAAAAAAAAAAGTTGCACTATAAATAGCATACAGAAGTGTAATTCAAAAAAAAATGGATGATAGTTCTGACGAAAGTTTTGAAGGCGTTGAAGAATTGAACGAAAACGATGAAGTCAGGTCGGAAAACGTAAACGATGAAGTAAAGTCGGAAAACGAAAACGGTGAAGTCAAGTCGGAAAACGAAAGTGGCGAAAATAAGCTAGAAGATGGCGAAGACAAAGAGGGGGACGATAAAAATGAGGCCAAATCATCTGATAAACTGAATGAAAAAAATGAACCAGATCCTACCGATAAAAACGAAAATAATATTTCGGACGAAGCGAACAATTTGCAAGATTGTTCCAATTTTACCTTTGACAAAAGTTTATTCTCCGCACCAAAGGTAAAATTGTGTAAGAAGTTGCACGGCTCTACGATTACAAAAATGGGGATGCAACTCCGCATATTTTTGCGTTTTCACGTTTTTCACCGCTTATCTGTTTTATCTCTTCACCATTTACTCCTCTCCTCCACGCAGTTCCATCCCCACTATCTCATGAAAGACCACGCTGTGCAGTACCTTCAGCCCATAATTAAGAAGGCCAGAAGAAGAACTTTCATGTACTGCTGCTGACGGAAAAAAAGACCCAGACATGAAACTACGTTACGAAAAGGAGTTACACCACAAATGGGGCGTTTAAATATGGTGGAAGCAAAAACAAGAGGAGTTAAAGCCACGCGAAAAAGAAAGGTTATACATAAATGTGGACATATATGCTACACTTAGTAAAGGCAGTACGCACGCTTTCTAGCACCCAAATCGCTCCATATCTTGTTCCCTTCTTTTAAGCATGCCACATATTCGAAAATGCTTATTTTGCGAAATGGTATATATACATATATACGTATGAACACTCCACGCAGAACAAAGTGAAACGTTTCGCTGTTCACAGCGAGTGCACTGATTAGAGAGAAGCACTTCTAATGGACACACGTGTTCCCACATGAACATACCGTTTCTCATGTGCGCTAGCTGGTCCGCTTTTTCCTTACCCCGACCGTGTGAGCATCCTTGATTTCACTTTCGAAAGCTCACTTAAATTCAAAACGCAACTCTGCATACATTCGGTTATGCCCATATAGAAATTTCAACAAAATGAAGGGGCAGATGCTAATACGTTTTTTCGGGAAGAACCTCTTCTCTACATGTAAAATGAAAAAAAAATCCTCCCATAGCAATTTAGTGATATTATTTTAAATATCCTCCAAAAAAGGCTAATTGAGGCACGGTCAAAATGATGCAACTAACAAGAGTTCTGGGCAACGTCAATTTACATATTAAACAAGCGGTTATATGTTCATATCCATAAATGGATAAAAAATAAAATTTCGCCATGTGTCTAATTGGCCACCATTTTTACCTACACGTGGCTGTACCTAGCTCACTATTGCTTAAGAGCTGTCAAATGAGCAAAAAAAATGCGATCGGATTTATTTTTCGACTAAAACTTAGTTTATCCAAAAGGAGCGCCTATCCTTTTGTCACATTCGTTTGTATAATAAGGAAAAAATCGGAGCGGTATATGTTCATGCCCAACAATATGCATTTATTTATATATTTTTTTTCTTTTCCAATGTAGCTGTCTCCTCCGAATTGCCCGTTGTTGTACACAATTCTTTTATGCTCAAATGAAGCGCTGGAAGTGACAACGAAAATGCCTAAACTGGAAAGGCAATTAATGGGAAACTTTGTTTAGCTAGCTATTTAAAGAAAAAAATAGCCATTTTTGAGAAAAAATACAGCTAGTTGAAAGAAAAAAAAAAAAAAAAAAAAACAGCTTTTCGAGGGATGGACAATTCGAGAGTTGCATAATCGTTAATGTCTACATGTGTCTCTCAAAAAATTTAATATCCGACCAGTTGTCTTCTATTTTGTTTTCTCATTTTATTATCATTTTTCACTTTTATTCTTAACCTCGGTGATACCTTTTTTTCTTTTTTTCCAATATGTCATAATTCTTCTTTCTTTCCTCCTTTCGTGGCAAATACTTGTATCCCTTAGCAGAATTCAAGTCCTATGCATAAATCCCAATTTTTTCTTTTCTGAGCAATTCTTTTTCGTCTCATCCCTTACGCTTCTGAACTGCCCAGATAGATAAAGAGATATATGCCCCTATACCTATTTTACATATTTCCCTATTAACCCATTCACCCATTTCCAAGATGAAACGCGCTTTAATTTTGCTCCTACCCCTACTCCTTGTATTGGCGTACGCTCACGGAAGAACCTCTGACATAACCTCACACATTCACCAACGAACAAAAAATGCGTCGGCCGCACAGATTTTTTCCCCAGAAACAACAGACAAGGAATGCATAAAATGCCTACCCGATAATTTTTGTGAATGTGAGTGCAGCTGTAAAAACAAAACGGGTTTTACCATGAAGTATAGACACGCAAGTAAGGGATCCAAACTACAGAGATATAATCTACTTAAGAGTAAGAAGCATGCCAGCTCGGGACAATCTACCGATATGCATACTAAGAGTCCCATGTCTGGTGTACGTACGGAAGACCCCCTTCAACATGAAACCAACACGGGGGATGGAACGGCACAAGGAACCAACACACAGGATGATAAAATAACCGAATGCTTCTCCTCCTGCAAAAGTGTCACGGGTGTCCAAACCGAGGAATGCAGCTGCTCCTGTTACTGTTAATTCGGATGAGGAAGAGACATCGGGTCTCTACAAGTTTGGTGGGGATTTTCCCGATTGTCCCCTTCTGCCGAGGGGACAGCTGTTCCCTTTAGATACAGCCTTACTGCATATGGCCGGGCGTCCTTCCCGTTATCACTTTTTTTAATTCGAGGTGGAACTGTAGCGCGAATAGCTTTTTCATACACCTGTTTTAACGTTGTGGTTTCGTTTGTTCGCGTCGACCTGTTCGTTCCAGTTAGACCCTTGTCAACCACAACACTGTTTTTGTCCATGCGTCGTTACATATGTGCATCCCTTTCGCAAAAAGGAAGAAAAAAAAAAAAAAGACATTTTTCTTTCCCCTTTTCTTCTTACATCAACACACAACGATATATTGCACACGATATATCGAGCACAAACATGTAACAGAAAGAAACAAACCACTAATAGTCCGTATGACTAAAAGTACCACTGTGTGCACAGACGCTACCATCCAGTGTCCATTTCGGGGGCGGCTTGCACAATTAAGCATGTCATACCCCCGCGCCCGTTCAAAAGGCAAAAAGCTCAGCGCACTCCACCCTCCAGGGTTGTTACTTCGGCTGCCTAACGCATGTCGTGTTTTTAACGGAGAAAGAAATGAATGCATATGTGGAGTAAATGACAGACATGAGATGTTAAAAAATATATCACGAGGGGTAAAACCTTCCGGGGCAAAAGCGCAGTTAGCGCTGCATATATATTTTTCCCCTTTTTCCTAACGTTTTCACGCAACAAGGGGAGGATGTTAAAGGAGGAAAAATCAAAAGGTGTATACTTCCAAACACGGAAGCACTTTAACTAACGCGCAGTGAAGAATAAAAGCGAATAAACAAATGAATAAGAAAACGATATGGCACTTTCTGTTCCTGCCATCTTCGAATAACTCGCAATATCCGTGATCAATCTGACGATGGGAAAATGGAAAACCGCCATGGAACAGCTTCGGCACGTTATCCCACTGACCCCGTTTGACAAAATAATAGAAGCGAAAACGGTTTAATTAAAAGGTGTGAAACAGCCGATGCGGGGAAGTATACATTTGTATACATAAGATGAATAACTTTTTTTTTTTTTTGCTTCTGCCCATTTAGGAAGAGTCAAGAGTAGCGCATGCCAAACGGGCCATGAAAATTACACAGGAGGGAAAGATTTACCATCACAGTGAATGCTAGAAAGAAAGAAGGGTGAAACGTAGCCAGGTGTGCAAAGATACATACCTATGAAGCCATAAAATTGGTGGGTATACCCACATCTACCCCCCACCCACTTCATTGGGATATTAAGGCAGATGGGGCATTCCTACTCGATGACCTCCAGCGCGCAGTTAAAAAAACGTACACCCCGCCTTCAACATAAACAGCACATTTACAAAACAGTATGCCGCCTGTAATTTACAAAGCTCCACTGCCCGTGCGCCTAAAAGCGCCAAAAGGAAGAATAGTACCGCTCAATGGCCCAGACATAAAAATAGGGAAGTCACTTATAGCTGCATGCCCCAGAAGAATAAGAGCAGAAAAGTTGTCGGAAATGAAACAAATTATACGTAGATATTTAGGGAAAAAAAAAGAATATTTTCTCGATGTGCATGCTACTTACAGTGTAACAAAGAAACCAGATGGCACCAAAATGGGACAAGGAAAAGGAATCATCGATTATTTTGTTGCTAGAGTTCCAACAGGAAAAACAATTTTCCACATTCCTTCCATCAGTCCGTTTAATAGCTTAGGATTTGAAGACCCGGTTTATAAAGTTTTAAAAAAAGCAGCAGCTAAAGTAGGCATTCCTTGTGTATTTAGGACACAAAATAATATATTTCGAATCAATAATGTAAAATATATTTCCCAAAAGAAAGTCGCCGCTGACCAAATGATACAGTTTAATCAGTACAGATCAAAGTTGTTTCAGAGGGGCGAATAAAACAAAAAAAAAAATATACCACTGGAATGAATTACATTGGAACTCTGCGATGGAAAGTACTGCACCTATATCGTATCTGCTCATAAAAAAATGTTTCACATAAACACTAAACGGAATCTGCTTGACGCGCACATGCGGGGACAGTCCACCACCACACGTCCTCCTTTATGTGACTCTTCCGTCAATTCGGGACGAACAATGGAAAATATCCCACAACGACACATTTTTCCTTTTTAAGGATGAAAATATAAACATGTACCAAATGCTTTCTGCGTATGTTCAAGCGACATCAGCAGCGCGGACGGTAGACGGAGTGTCCTTTGGTTTTCTCCGTTTTACTTCTTTTTTCGTAGAATGGTAAGCCAACTGTGAGTCATTTTTATGTGGAGTGTCACACAATGTGGCTCAACAATCGATTTTGCCTATTTGTGCAGGAGATGGAACAGTGCCCTCTCTCATGTTTTGGTCCACTCGAACGAATGGGGAAATAACAGCATCCCATTTTTTTTGGCAAATGCATAGTATAAGACGCTGTTGCCACACTGGAATGAGAGGGCAGGTCAACTTCCCTTACAAGTAACATGACAACCGGGGGAATGCATTTTTGGCTTTCGTCTAATGGTACTTTAGCATTTACAGATTATGCCCCCAGATGATAGGGTGTTTTTCCCTTCCCCGTTGCCGCTTCAAAATGGGTAGGAAAAAACGGGAAAGTCTATTGTACTCTCCGCATTACGTTCATTTTAAGAGAAAAGAGATGAAGGAAGCATCGTTACAAAAAATGCGACAATTGCGTAATATGTAAATTACGTACGTATGCAATTTTGTTGTAGATGGTGACAACAATGAGATGTGTTTTTTATTAAAATTATTTTTTATTTATTTATTTATTTTTTCCCCCAATTATACAGCCTCCTTGGGGGCGAAATGACGCACTAAAGAGCTTATTTTATGCAAACGACCCCAGTCCAAATATTTTCATCATTTTACTTCCATCCCCGCTGCTCATTTTCTATGCATATTTTTCCACCCCCGCGTTATTCCAACGCGATAGAATGATTTTTTTTCTTTAAAAAGGAAAGAGCTTGCTTATATTGTAAGGCCATTTTGGTAATCCCCACTAATGAGAAGCTACCAAAAAAAAAAAAAAAAAAAAAATTCATCCCATGGAACGGTACAAAAATAATCCTTCCCAAGAAAGGTAAAAAGAAAAAATGGCAATGTAAGGGCAACAATGCCGGCGTATACTTTTACCTATAAGCACGTTTATGTGTACGGCGCCACCCGTACGTGCGACTGAGCATATATAACCTAGTGGAGAAGCAACTGCAGGATGGAGGAGCAGCAACAAGGCAACCCAATGGAGGATGAGGAACGTTCGTCCAGTGGGAAGGACGACGAAGTTAAGGATGACCAATCGGTGAATCCGTCAGGTGAAGAAGCGCAACCCGTGGACACCCCCCCGAGCGGCAAAAATGACCAGAAGGGAGAAGCCGAGAGGAAGAGGAAACATGCGGTGGAAGGCAAAGCCGCGACGAAACCCTTAGGAGAAGGGAACCAACTAAGTTTATACGTACAGATGAAGAAATCCAAAACGAAAGTGGGCAGCAACGGGGGGAGGGAAGGCCCGAGTGCTGACGTGGAGGTTTCCCCGAGTAGTGAAGAGGATCAGGTGGAGGATGACGTAATTGAGGAGGACGACGACCTGGTGGGGCAACCGCCCAGTAAAGAGGGAAAAAAAAAGAAAAAGAAAAAAGAGAAGAAGCAGGAGACGCAGCCAGAAACGCTCTCAGAGGGGAACTCCAACTCTCCCGCGGCAGCGGACGAGGTGAATCCGTCCGATTACGAAAGACTCCTGGCGTCGGAAAAAAACAACAGCGCCATATGGGTGAGCTACATAGCCTACCACCTGGAAAGGGGCAGCCTGGAAGAAGCCAGAAAAACAGCAGAAAGAGCCCTGAAGACGATAGATATACACAAAGTGGAGGAAAAGAGAAACATCTTCTTCTGCTACATAAATATGGAATGCACATATGGAGACAAGTTAAGAGAAGTGTTCAAAAGAGCTCTCCTTTGTTGTAATGAGAAGAAGGTATACATCCACACAATGAATGTGCTAAAGATAAATAAAAAATATAATCAGTTGAAACAATTAAGTGAAGAAGCGATAAAAAAATTTCACTACTCCAAAAAGATATGGTCGAATTATTTAGAAATTATACACAGCACGTTTAAAGATGAGGCATATGCACACGAAATTCTGTTAAAGTCTCTACATTGTTTGGCGAAAAGAAAACATCTACGTATGGTAATAAATGCTGCGAGGTTTGAATATAAGTATGCCAATAAAGAAAGAGGGAAAAGTTATTTTGAAAAATTAATCCAAGAATATCCAAAGAGGTCAGATGTTTGGTTTACTTACCTTGACATTCACATCAATTCTTTAACCAGAGGTGAAACAAAAGGAGAAAAAAAAAAATTGAATTTAAATCAACTTCAGTTTGTTAGAAATATATTTGAAAGGTTTTCTTCGTGTAAATTTAAGACAAGAGTGATGAAAATGATATTCACCAAGTGGCTCTTATTCGAGAAGAACCATGGCACCGTTACCAGCCAGAAGATGGTTCAGAAGAAGGCCTATGATTACGTTGAGAGTTTGAACGCGCTTGCTTGATGCATCGAGAGGCGAGAGGGGCAAACGGCACCTCTCGCCACGTGTCTGTGCGTCGTTCTTTTAAGCGGAACATTCCTTCTTCGCCTTTTGTTTGCCTTCATTTTGCCTTTTTTGCCTTCTTCGCTTTTTTTTTTATTATTGGTTACCCCCGCGGGAATACCATCATGCTGCCATGTCGCCATTCCGCCATGCCACCATGCCGACGTCCCGCCAATTTGTGTACCCTCCATTTGTCTCTTTTTTTTTGACGCCACTTCAGTCTTGTTACTACTCGCTTTCGTATTTTTCATTTGTGCCAACGAGGGGGGGAGGTTCTCCCCTATCAGCACTTAACTCCTTCGATAACCACCCATAGAAGTGTAAATAAAAAATGGCACGTCCCTTCTGGAGTCGCCTTCAAATTGATTTTGCTTCACCTCCACTTCACCTTCTGCCCCCCCTACGACTTCTGCAAAAACCGCCGGAAGCCACCCCAATCACTGGGCGCAGTCAAATTTGACGCACGTAAGAAGTCTACCAACTGACACAAAATGTCATCCTCCCAGGAGAAGTTCCGTCGCAAATGCTCCAGTAGCCTGTGCGACTCTCGCCAGTCTCCACCCAAATACAACTCTAGCGCATTTCCAAATAGCCTCAAATATTCCTCAGGAAAATTCATCTGAATTGACTTTATGTCGGCGCTCTTTGAATATTCCTCGTACAGCTGTGATGGGCATGTTAAAGATGTGCAATCTTTTTTGGTGGCTCTCTCTCGACTGGGTTAACGCATGCGGGGAGACCCGCCGAACGAACGAGAACAATCGGGCAGACAAAAAGAAGCCTATACGAATGTACGTGCATATGGCCACGCCGAGAAACTCTCTTACGTCGTATGCCAGATTCAACACTTCCTTCTTCCGACGGCGTCTTTCTGTCTTTTGCTTTATATCATTCAGAATCTGGGGAAGTACAAGTTAAGTAAAAACATTATTTTTTTTATTTTATTTTTTATTTTTATTTTATTTTGTTTTTTCCAAAGTGTATAGAAACGAAAAGTCCCTCCAAATAACAACGACACCTTTATCATTTTTATGTCAACATTTCTGGGCACATCAAACATTTCTATGTTTTTTCTCTTCGGAATCTGAGACGAAAAGGTTTAAATGTTTTTTGCTTCCTTTTTTTTTACCAAGGGTGGAAGATCCATATGTAGCTCTTCCCAGATAAAAGCATAGGGGTAAGTAAAGCATATACCAATTGAAACTCAACGAAGTCACCCACACGCACAGACACCCTCCCACACTTGGTTGTCTCTCCTTTACCTTATCAAGACGTATGTCAAAGGTGTATAAATCCAGGGGGTTCCCGCATCCCTTCAAGGTAACACGGTCTATTCTGCGCAGGGACTTCTGAAAGATGCATGAAAAGAGGGAAGGTAATAAGGGGCGATACACGCATGGCATGCATAAATGGAGAGGTGAAATCTCACAAGGGAGGGAAGGCAAAAATGGCGAGAAGACAATCGCGGGAAGACAAAAATGCCTGAACGCGAAACTGCCCACCTTGAACCCCTCAGACATGTTGTCGTAAAATTCGCCCGAGATGACGACGTTCCTTTTGTACGTCTTAGAAATGTCCTGTAGTCTGCTCGCTATGTTAACATTCTCGGATAAGTAGGAGAGGTCAATTTTGTAGCTGCTTCCAATGGCCCCTTCGATGGCCCAGCCGAAATGCAGACCGAAACTTAACTCGATGATGTTGTTCCCGACGAGCTCGTGGATCTTCTCGCTTTTGAGGAAGGAACGTATCTTCTCCGACTGGAGGGGGTTGAGTTAACAGCGTGCGGAGGTGCGTTGTATTATCGCGTATTGTATCTTTCTGTTCCGCGCCGCATTTTCCTGTGTTTTATCTTTTTCTGCCGCGTCGCCGCGCATGACTAGAGAGGCGTGCCTATCTGCACACGTAGCGCCTCCACCCTTACCTCGTGCAGCCTGATCAGCGTCTTCACGGTGGATAGGAACGCCAAATCGCAAACCCTGTTTATGCATGCCTTCTCCGAAACCTCTTCCTTATTCCCTTCACCTGTCACGTGGCACTTGGATGTCAACAGACTTATCCTGTCATTGTGAAAGTCTCTTTTTTTGCATTTCCAGACGAGCAAGAATGCATCTCCGATGTTTTTGTTTATGGATCCTCCGTAAAAATCGCAACAGTCGTGGATTATCTCTGCAACCAGGTTTATGAATATCATGATCTGGGCGCGGGGATGAATCAGTGTGGTGGTGAAGCGGAGTAGTGCTCAAGCAGTGTGCCAGTGTGATGGCGGCATCTGGGGGATGCGTTCCTCCGCCCATTCATTACGCACAAAAACGTAAACATCGAACGGTCTAACCTTCTCCTTCAGGACCTCCGTTATTTCGGTGAAATTCCTTATGTCGCAAAATGAGAAGACAGAGTAAACCACTTCTCCATTCACCAACAAGTTCACTCTCTCCTGCGCGTTGATATTTTTCGAAATAATTTTCGCGCCCGCCTCTCCGAAGCCTGCATAGGGGTGAAAGAGGCGGTAACAGAGGAATGGGACAGGCGAGAAAAAATGCAACCAAACACAGAAGATCTTTCGAACGGATGGTAGTTCACATCGTGGTTGCTAAGTCTCCATTATGAGCACATCACAAAATTCTTGCTGTAGCAGCCAAAAATTCGAATGATCAAAGCAGCAGTTCAAATCAGGAGTACCTAACAACATCAGGGTGCCCAGTTTCATCAAATTTTCCTCCATCTTCAAAATTTCGTAATTCTGCTTTATACCTTTTCTGCATTTTTGGAGTAAATGTGGCATCAAGGGTATAGAGTGGGCCTGTCTATATCTGCTCTCCCTTCACAAGATATGTGCACCTCCTCATATGTATGCACCCGCTCCTCTGTGTAAGGGCCTCCCTTTACCGCTTCAATTTTGTGTTCCTTAGTATATTGTCCAGCTCATGGTTTAAGAGCTCCTCCTGCATCTCCAGTGCCAGCGTTGGATTCGATCTACGAATCAGTGGGTTAGGTAAAGACGAATTTGCAATAAAGACCCAGTTGGACAGATGCACACCCGAGATGCAGACAAGCTAATCCGACTAGACCGCGACCTACTTCATCAGCTTCAACTTCTTCAATATACTCTCTATTGGGAATAGCAGGACGTTAAGTTCGGAGGTAAAGTAAAACAGTATAATGAAGGAGAACTGTACGGGAGGGGAGGAAGGGGGGGGAAGATTAAAGGGAAGGAGTGGACACTGCTGTTTTTTTTTTCTTTTTATTGAAGAACCCGGGGGGGAGGCAGTGCATTCCGAGCCCATCTCTACGTGGCGGCCCTACCACGATGACGAGAATCTTCAACAGGACAACGTTCTTTATTCGTTTCTTTACATTCTTCTTAACATTTATGTAAAAGGTGAACTCGGCCGACTGGTACACTTTCGTTTCGTACCTCCTCAAGGAGTCTTCCAGAGGGGTGAATTGGGGAGGTTGTTCCCATTGAGTAATCACACGCAAGAATGTACACATGTATATATACATACACATATACATATATAGACATATACATATACTATCCTCTCACACCAGCTGAACTGCACACCTATGCACCACTAAAGTGCAATTCTCTTTTTCGAGTCTTTACTAAGGTCCTTAATTGTTCCACTGAGAATTACTTCCTCTTCCTCGTCTCTTCTGTCTGGGGGGTTCATGCTTATAAATTTCAGGACCTCCTTCTGTGTGAATTTTCGAAGTTCATGGGGGGTGGACCACGTGATACATTCGCTGCACAGGTGGGCACTCATGTTTCGTTCACTGGAATGGCACCAATCCAGTCCAGCATTTACCCCCCCCTTGCGCCCTTCAGTCCTACTCACTTTTACTCTCCCCTTACGTGTGACAAATGGGCAAAATCCCACAGCGTCCGTTTTTGCGTCCCTACATTTAACTCTTTCCTGTTGACGAAATTTTGCAGTCTTCTTTTTGATTTAAAGCTGACTAGGTATTCATCGGCGCCTTTTCCCTTTTGTATTTCCTACGGGGATGCGTAGGTGCAGAAGTGGGACAAGCGTGCCTACCCCCATGGTCACATGCGAGGTTGCACAAGTGAGTGCCACTCGACTATGTTGTCCTTTTTTTTCTCTCTCTCTCCTTTCTTCCCTCGTACAGTGTAAAAATAAAGAGCCTTCAAAAATTCAGATTCGTAATAATCTTCTAAGGAGATTCTGCAGGGGGAGGGAAGCATAGAACATGCCTAGAGAAACAGACACTTGGGTCTCTACAAAGACGAACATTTCAAATATAGCAGAAAAGGGATTCTCCTTTTTTTGTTCTTTCCAATTTCTTCCAATTGATCCATTCTTTTTCTTTTTTTTTTTTTACGAACAAGTCAAGGTTGTAGATGAAATACTCCATGGAGTTATTCTGTCCTTTGGGAATGGACATCTGCTGGGGAGAAGTGATGCAGGAATAGTGAGCTAAACGTGACAAAAAGTAGCTCCAAGAAGAGGCGACTCTCCGAAAAAAGATATGCCCTACGTCACCACCACCACCTTTCTTACCGTCTCGATAAATATAAAGGACAGCATCATGAAGAACAGGGACATAAAATATCTTTTTATCAGCGCCAGGTGCATTTTGTTCGTGAATTTTAGGCTCTCCTGAAATGGGGAAGAAGCATCTCCATGGGGGTCACTCCATTTTTGATCACTCCACTCGTATGCACAAATGGCTGCAGCCGTCCCATGTAGTTTCGATCCACATAAGGGACTTCTCACATGGAGGCAAGGGCGGCTCCACCGCGTCTTTACCTTCAGATTTGTTCTATTTTGCATGCTCTCCATTTTTTCGAACTTTGGAGAAGGGATCAATGAGGCGGGAAGATGGCGGAGCGTTGTCATAAAGGCATAAATAGGTGCACACATATTTATCTTTCCACGTGTACATGCGGGAACAGTATTCTCTACAATACATCGGCATTACATTCCACTCATTCCTGTGCTTGTACTTCTCCTTGGTGTGTCTCCCGACGAAGCAAATAATCAGCCTATATATCTTTGTGACCCTCAGAGCCTTCACCAAGTGTATGAGATAAATCACATCTTCACTCCCAACATCACTTATTCCGTTTATTCTGTAGTGAAGGAGGAGACGTGGAAGTAATAAGCAGTCAAGTTGTCCGAGCATCTGCATGGGAAGACCCCCCCCTTTTTAGTCCTCCTCTTTTTCTGGCCACCCACTTTCTCCCCTCGGACTAACCTCTTCACATAGGAGTCAAACAAATCGAAGAGATAATATTCACAAATGAACAAATCAAAGAATAAGGATACCAAAGAGATCACTTCGAAAAAGATAAAATAGCAGGTGTAGCTTCTCCTCGTAAAAAAATTTATCATCACTTCGATGCAGCATATGAAGATGAGGAGGACGATGAGATGATTGGACAGAGCGTCATGCTTCTGAGAAGAGGGTCCACGGGAAGGTACAAATGATGGATGCGCAGGTGCTTTCACATCGTTTTCCTACTGGTAGATGCATACGTAGGCACGCCTTTTCTCTCCGGGTGCCGAAGTCTCCTTCTATCAATCTGTAACCTTTTCTAGAAGGATGTACAAAACGTCTTTGCTGAAAATTACAAGGAAGAGGTACAGAAGGTAAAGTAGCTTGACCAGCCTCGTCAACGCATTGGAGTATAGGCCCTAGAGTGAAAAAAGGGAGGTAAGGTGTGTTTGCTCTTGTGTTTGTGTTTGTCTTTGTGTGTCTGTGGTGGTCATGGTGTTGCTGCTGGACACAAAATAGCTGCAAAAATGGCTTCCCTTACAGCTTGCTCTCCTTCTCTCTATCTGATACTCTTCGTCACAAAGTGGTCTATGTCTTATTTTACTACTTTCCTATCCCTACCTCATACTTCGAAATGTCCAATTCGTCATCATATTTTTTCTCCTCATTTGTAATCTCCTAAGAAGAGTTTACCCACGGGGTGAAACATTTATTCACTCTTTTCGTGCGTGTCTCTTTGATTGTTTCTTCTCTGGTAAATGCGAGAGACCTCTCCCCCCTCGTACGACATGCACGCATTGTAGGGGGTACAGAATGGGGAAATAAAACCAGACGGTGGAATAGAACAAAACGGTTGGATAAAGCAAAACGGTTGGATAAAGCAAAATAATTTTTCGCTTCCCCCGAAAATTGTCACACTACCCAAAGGGAGCATATTTACGTGGAGAAAAAAATACAACGACATAACGCACTTTCGTAGCATGAGTCTATTTGTGAAAAGTCCCATATGTTGTGGTGGCAAAACAAACAGGAGGACTAACTCTCCAATGTCTGCATCCACATGTGTGCATCTCCCCTCATCACTATGTACATTGTCAGAGGTAAAGGAGTATAGAACTTTTTCCTTCGATCTACATTTTAAGAAATATCTTTTCAGCTTCTCATTTGGGAAAATTTCCTTTGCATATATGTGCTTTAAGTCCGGCATCGTTTCACTTCTAACTTTTTATGAACCACTGTAGAGGGAGCGAAGGGGAGGAGAGGTCAAGGCAGGAAGAGACAAGAAGGGACAGGACGGAACAAAAAAGGACAGGATGGCACAACATAGGACCGGAGGGGACAACATAGGACAGGACAAGTACAGGACAAGACAGGATATACGTGTCTCTTCCCATGAACAACGGAAACGAGTGAAATTTTTAAAAAAGAACAACTTGTTTTACTTTCTTTTTTGTGATGATATCGAAGGAATGTTACGTCCTTCGCCCCACCCCCTCCCTTGTATGGAACGTGCTTACTCGCACTTCTACTACTTTGCCTCAGAGAAGTGACATGTGCGAAACGCATTTCGTTACTTGGTGAGCATGCTTGGGTTTTATTTTGATAGTACGCAACTTTGTTATCGTACAGTTTTACCATTTCAGTGCTTCATTATCTTAATATTGCGCTTTTTTTTTTCACTTCCGTTTTTGCCGGTTCCCCGAACTTTTTGTCTCATTTCGATATACCCCCCTGCTGTGATTTCCCAAGTTTAGCGCATCCACAGCTTGAGAAATGCCCCAAAAAGCGTCACTCACGATGGACGTTAATTTTAGCCAAACAGAGGAGGAAGCAATTTCCCATAAGTGTAACCTCTAAGCGGAGATGGGCCCATTTGTTATGGTCTCGTAGAATGTGTCCGAATCGACGCACAATAAGGTGGAGAAGTTAGAAAAATGTTTAAAAGACAAAGTAGAGAAATATGGCCCTCCCAATTAGCCCTTTCTATGAGCACATTTTAAAATACATCCCATTTTCCTCCCCCCAATGGGTGCACACATACGTATACAGGAGAATATGGGGAAAGTTTCCCGGGCAATCCCTAACGGCATAGACCCGCCCCTCCCTGTTTCTTTAAATAGGACCAATCCAACGATAGCATAAAGGAGAAGTGAGATCTATTTTCCACTTCACGCAGTTTGTATGGGCCACTTCTTCTTGATAGCATTGGTCCAAAAAACTAATTCGTCCCATATCCTCTAGCCTTCCTTGCTTGTCTCCGCGAGGGAGGGTGATGTCATTTCCCCCGACCGGGTCGTCCGCGTCACGATATTGTTACGTTAGTAGAGAGCTTTTCGATTTTTAGTTCTTAATTTTCTAACTTTTTAATTTTTTAGCTTTTTAATTTTTTCATTTTTTAATTTAATCACTTTCTAACTTTTTAATTTTCTAACTTTTTAACTTTTTAATTTTTTAGCTTTTTAATTTCTTCATTTTTTAATTTTATAACTTTCTAACTTTTTAATTTTTTAACTTTTCGTGTTCACCATTTGGCGTACACCGCTGCACCGCCGTTGCGGCAAACACATATGATAAGTTTATTATGGACTAGGGACACACAAAAAAAAAAAAGACTACACCGTGAGAGTAATTAAGATTATTAAAAATTATATGCAGATGCATTGTTGCGGCATGCCGCCGTGTGCATGCTTATGTATTCGGCGAAGACCCAGTAAGGGTCAGTTTGGCAACAGGGAGGTGCCATTCCGGAGCCGTGTCCAAAGGGACTCCTGTTCTCTCTGTGGCGACTTCCCGCTGCTCTTTTGTAGCGGGTGCCGTTGTTCCTCTGTGGTGACCCGCTCCGCGAATTCTAGACGCTGAAGTAAAATGTCACGCTTCCCTTCTTTCCCAGCGCACAGGGCTCGACAGCATATTCGGATAAGTCAAATGCGCAGGACAAGTTAAAGCTCTTTTTAAAATCACCAAAGGTTAGGTGAAAATAAATGGAGTCATCAGTTTCTTCGACATGTTTCAAATTAAAATTAATAAAAGTGTATTGAGACAAACAGTTAACCAAACTGGGGAGCAACTGATTCGTGACAATTTCTAATTTGGGTAACTTAATTAAAAATAATTGATTCGGGATGACAAGATAGATGCAGCTAACCGATCTGTCATTTTTATGATTAAACCCTACTGATGGAGAGATGTTTAAATTTCCTTTAGAAAAATCACAAACGTGTATCTCATCTTCAGTTGCGACTGAATACTCCTCACTAATTTCTCTTTTTAGATGTATTTTCACTTCTCCCTCTAGCAATTCGGACACTTGCTTAGGTTTTATTGAACAGAAGAATAAAATGTCACTTGCGTCTTCGTCAATCTGAAGGTAATACTCCTTTACCTCCCTATCTCTGTGCACGACATCTTTTATTTCATATTTCAGTTTCGGGGAAAAGGTAGTAATGTCTGTATTGTTCATTATATAATCTTTTAGTGGACAGTACACTCGAGAGTTCTGGAAGCATTTCACTTCGTATTCTTTATTGACCCATATTTTCACTTCCTCTCCGTGGTGTGGGTTTAGGTTGCATACCACTTTGGTTTTTTCCTGCGGAATGAAGTTTAATCTTTCTGTGAAATCACAGGAGGATAGGTTTGCTCGGTTGGTCTGGTTGGCTCCATCTCTGGGGTCTCCTCCATCAGCATTGGCTCTATCGTGGACACCTTTTCCGTCGTCACTGTTCCCATTGCGGGCATCGCCTCCGGTCCCATCATTTTTCCCTTGGTCACCACTGCTCGCATCGCGGGCATTTCTTCCCGTGCTATCGCTTCTCGCTTGGTCACCGCTTCTAGTCCCAGCGCTCCTATCGGTGGACGCGCCCTCTGTGCCAATGATTCCCCCGCCGCCGTCAATCCGGTCGACGACGTTGCGTGTCCGCAGGCCCCCCGCCGTTTTGACACTCACTAGCAGAAAAAGAAAGCACACCAGTAGGGGGGGTTTCATTTCGGCTTTCCGGTTTCTGCTTTCTGATTCCTACGTTCTGCTTCCTACTTTCCGCTTCCTACTTCCTACTTCTCACTTCTTACTCTCTGCTTCGTTTCTTTTTTTTTTTTTTTTTTTTTCTCTCCCTCTTAAGGCAAATGCACTTTCTGCATGTTCGCATGCATCAAACATTTACGATCACCAGATGTTACGCATTGGTGAAGTTACACTGGAAAAAAAAAAAAAGGCGACTGTTCCTTTTTCAATTTTGCTACCCCCTTTGGTTGGCTCAATGGGTTAAATTCGCCTAAGAAAGCTTTACATTAGCGTGTCACGAATTAGCTAACCACAAAGTCGTGCATTCTTCACAAGTGAAGAAGCTCGTGAGAAGGGCGTGGCACACTTAGGAACTCATAAAAGGGTGTGGGAGGGGACACCAATCTATTTCTTCCTTTTCACTTTGTTTTTCACTTTCGCTGCGAACATTTCTGTTTCTCAATTTTCACGTTGTTTTTCCTTTTTGATTAGCACCTGCTTTCCTCCCATTTTATTTGATTATTTTGTTTGATTATTTTATTTGATTATTATTATTTTTTTTTTTCTCTCTCTCTCCTCAAATGCCTCTTCCCCTTGCATGCACAAAAAAAAAACGTTGTAAGAACAAGAGCAACATGGCAACACCGCGCAGGCTTAAATGGTCACTAAATCAAGCAAAAAAAAAAAAAAAGAAAAAAATTCCATAAAAAAATGTGACATTATTTATGATGTTATTTTTTCCACTCAATGGTTATTATGTTTTGATTTTCTTTCTTCCCCTGTCACGTGGGTTCTAGATATATGCTATTATATTTTTAGTCAAAACTGCTTTACTTTTTTTTTTTTTTGTTTCCTACCTATTTGTGCCGTCAAAGAGGTAACACCCACTTGCCGCATGCACAATTTACACACCTGGCTTCCCCCTCTTTGGAGGGAGAACATTCCTTCGACGTACTCACGTCGAAGCGTTTCAAATGACTGGGGTCCTAAATATCAAATTTCGATTTCCATTTGGTGTAGCGAACTTGTGAAGGGAAAAAAATTGAGGTGAACGTTTTTTCATCTAGCTGCCATTTTTCAGTACTGAGCCCCCAACTTCCCAAGCCACGTCCTGATAAACATGAACGCGGCTTCCCAACCTCAGACAATGTCAGTTCAGCGAACATTTCAGATTTAATTAAAAGCAAGGGAAGAAGATATTCCTCCTTTCAGAGAGAATAAGATAAAGTTGAAAAATATGTACAGTCCATATACATACATTTTTTTTTTTACACATTATGCTAAATTATAAATCGGGCAGGGAAAAAAATTAACATAAAAATGTAACACAAAAAAGGGGAAGAAAAAGTAATCATGCTGTAGAGAAGTATGCGGCATGTTGTGCGAAAAGCGCACACGGGAAAAGTATTTAAAAAAAAAAAAAAAAAAAAAAAGGGAAAGGGTTTTTTTCATTTTTCCCTTATCAGTAAGGAATAATTACACATAATTGTGGTTCATCCTATCCATTATGTAACATGAACGGCACGGGTAAATTACGTAGAAGAAGGAAACGCAAAATTCGGTTGAATGAAGGGGAAGCGACAAGGGGGTTGAAATAAGCGGTGTCGCAATCGTTGCAGCGGTGTCATCCGTGTCAACCGTGTCAGCGGTGGCGCCGCTAAGCGGTGGTTTCACGAAACTGCTAATTCCGAAAGACGGTTGCATATACATGTACACATATACGGGAAAAAAAATTACAAAAACAAAGTGTTGCGTTGGGAGGGGGACCCACGGCGATGCGAGCCAATTCAGCTGCATACGGCGGTTAACTCCGAAGCGGCATCCGGGAGGAAAAAGAAAAAAAATCCTATTAATTAAACACACAGAAAAAATAAACCCATGCGGAATAAAACAATGCTCTTCTGATATTGTGTAGAATTTTGTTCCTTTTCCTTTCCCTGTTTCTTTTCTTTTTTTTTCTTTTTTTTCCTTTTTTTTTCTCTCCTGCACCTTCCCTTGGGGGGGGATTTCTCGAGCCACAGCACACCTGGGTGGACGACCCACGCATACGATAAATGTACACACATGACAGTGTTATCCATATGTAGTTGGGCATCTTCGCTGGGTCCATCCCTCCTTCTTATAGCGGCTTGTTCCTTTCCTCTGCGTGCCTGCTACTACTCCACAACAACCTTTGATATCAACTCGGGGGGGAATAAATCCCTGTTGTTATTTATAAGCCTTTTCCACCTGACCATGGTCAGGAAATGTTTCGTAATGAACTGTTCCACCAGGTTGCAATAAGGAGGCACCCTGTCCTTGAAGAGCTCCTCCTTGGTCATTTCCACAGAATGCTCCAGCTGTTTATTCAAATTCACTTTATTTAAAAACAATTTTTGTAAATTTCGAACCAAGTCCCCCTCCAGTTCGATCAATTTCTTATACACATTTGTCATGTCAACTCTGGAGTCATTCCTATAATTAATCAAATTGATAATGTCCTTGCGCTTTTTGTTGTATTCTTGGTTCATCTTCTTCCTGTTATCTTTAATTATCTGTATAATGATGTCCAGTGATCTGTATATAACGGAAAAGAGCCTCTTCATTTCTTCTTCCTTTTTCACCGTGTCGAATTTGTCCATGACGGTTTTGTACAGGTTTATAAAGTATGGCGACGCCAAGGTGCTACTGTTAATGGGGTTTCCGTTCGGATTACCAGCACAGGTCAGTGAACCGCTCGGTACACCGCTCAGTACACCGCTCTGTGGGTCGCTCAGTGTGCCACTCAGTAGGCCGCCCAACGCGTTTCTCAGCCCATCGCGCGAGGGGTGCGACCTTGAAAGGTCCAACTCAGGGGGGAAAATCACATTCCTGTTTCCTCTATACGCACTAGTGAGAAGCCCCATCTTCTCATTCAATTCCTTCAGAGTCCGTTTAACGTGTCCCTTCCATACGCTCCTAACCTTTTTAAATTCGCTAATTAAGCTATCCGCCTGAATCATGGTACTCACAATTTTTAAAATTTCGTCAATTTCTGTCTGCAGGTTTCCAGAGGCAATGTCAAACGAATTTGAGATCACCTTCATCTTCGTGATGTTATCCTTATACACATGTCCAAACTTCTCAATGTTATTTTTTATAACTTGTAGGCTATGTGGAGGGTGCATTAATTTGGCCAGCTCCATCTTAAATAGAGTGACTCTCTTTTCCGCACCGTACAATCCAATACTCAATCTGTTCAGGTTAAAAAATACATCTGGTTTCATATTCTTATTGGCTTCCTTAAAAAGTGTAATCATCTGTGAGAGTATACTAATCACACGCAGTAACCGATCAACTCCGTTAATCAAAATTTCCGTTCCTTTGTAATTCTCGATGGAGTACCATGCCTTCATGTACGAGATGTCCATGGTACTGCTTCTCGAATGGTAGAGAAACCTGTTCAGCTGTTTGTACAGGTTCTCATATTTCATTAGTAAATTGAAATTCTCTTGTACGACTAGGTCTCTTAGCTTCTCCACGAGGTTGAGGCAGATAGTGAGAACCTCGGCGATGTCGTCCCTCTCGCAGTAGGTAAAGGCGTCCTGCTCCTTCACCCAGTGGGTGTGCTTTTCCAGCAGCTGCAGGGTTTTCTCAAATACGAGCGCGTCGACCTCTCCAGTAACGTCGCTCATACCGCTGGTACTATTCGCTTCCTCCACAGCGTCCCCCCGAGTCTCCGATCTATTCACATATTCCTCATATTCACTGCGAATGCTTTCAATGTTGAGGAAGCTGTTGTTTTTTACGAGGGCGAGCTTGGGCACATTCTGCTGAATATCCAACCGGGTGATTTCAGTGGACATATCGATTAGTTCCTTCTCTAAAGTGCTCAGCCGTTTTTGAAGTTCATCCCTCGTGCTGGTGATCTTCGTTTGCAGATTGAACATCAATTTGGACGTCACATCCTCCACCAGGTTCAGCATGTTTCTATCGCTTTCTTTTCCACTGGCAAAGTCTGCACTGATAGAAGTGCCCTCCGCAGTCTGATGTTCCCTTCGAAAATTTGAAATATACACATCTGCCTCATTCTTCAGCTCATTCAATCCATAGTTTATATCATACAGAGCGACAACTTCACCTCTTAGCTTTGCCAAAATGTCCTTAAGTGATTCTACATTGGAAAGTATTTTATCCTTGATGTCGATAAAGTACACACTGCTTTTGCTATCTTCATTCGTCTTAGTGCTATTCAGCGATTCAGCTACTTCATTAAAAATGGAAAAATAGTCTCTTTTTAAACTTTCAATATTTTCATATTCGCCCAAAAATTGATTTTCAAAATGACGATAATTTTCACCAATGTCGAAAGAGTTCTTATTAAAGTCATCAAAAAATTCCGTCACAAGATTTTCCTCCTTTGTAAATATAATGCTCAAAAATTTCAGCAGTTCATTTTTTACAATGTCTTCCTTAAGTCCAATGCTATTTGGAAATTCTCTCACCAAGATTTTTTCAATAGCTTTAATTATATTGTGTTCACTTTTTCTCACTTTGCTAATGTAGTATTTTACATGTTCTTCCAAAATTAACTTCTCTATCGTGATACGAACATCCTTGTTGTCAAATAAGGCTATAAATTCTTTGCTGAAGTTTTGCCCTTTTAATGTGCTTGAGTATACATCTTCATCATTTATAATTTCACAAAATATGCTAACCGTACTCGGTTTTATTAAACAACAAAAAATTAAAAAGAGACATAATGTAAAAATTGCTTGTACCCTTCTCATTGAAAATTATAATTTTTTTTTTTTTTTACTTCAAAATTGGGGAGATCAAATGGGGAAAAGTGATGACAGGGAAAAAAAAAAAATTCACATTAGGATTATACAAATGGAGGTGGGACAACTTCTAACACGATTGCGAAAACGTCGCATAAAAATGTACTGCGCTTAGATCATTCTCTTCTTTGGGACCTTCCCAAACGTCCGTTTTTTTTTTTTTTTTTTTTTTCTCTTCTAGGCGCGGAATGGATAGCCTTTCCCCTGCATGAACACGTGTCTCTTTATGTATCTATGTATGCTTGGGATGGTATATGCAAAAGCACGCTTCGACTGCTCTAACTTTTGTGTTGCTAAAAATACCAATGAGCTTTTGCTTCCGGAAAAAGAAAACTCAGCCAATTTACTGCGACACACTGCGCAACGTGCTCTACCAAAATTGGGAGTTCCCAAAATGAGTCGCTCCAGAAAAACTGCTTTTTTATAACTGAAAAATCCGGTTTGATTTGTTACGCTACCAGGTAAGGCGTTTTTTTTGTTTGTTTTCTCTTCCTTTTTGGGACGTAGCCCACTTGGTGGACCCTTCGTCTGTGCGCGAACTTTAAAATGGAAGTTGCTGGTTTGGATAATGCAAACTTGCTGGGGAAGGGTTTCTCTTTTCACCCCCGAGCTCGCGCAAATGCGTTCTTTTGTATATAATATATGTCCCACGGTCGTAGGGTCGCGGTTTGCATTTATGTGCAATCAAAAGTGGTACATATGGGTACATACATACACGTAGTCCCCGCGCGGGCTTAGCCCTTGGGTCCGTCACAAAAATAGCGGGCAAAGGAAAAATCACATCCCCTACCCCTTTTTGAGCGAACAAGCAAAACGAATAGCAACGAGGAATTCGCCTACGATGCGTAGAAGGGCTCCTCAGAATTATGCTTAGCCCAAAACGTTAAAAAAAAAAGGAAAAAAAAAATTAAGGTATCCCCTTCAACGTTTTTCTAAAAAAGTAAAAATTAAGGAATTTTTTTCTTCTTTTTTAATCGTGGGAAGCCCCCACAAGTTTGAACTTCAAAAAAATGGTATGTAATTTAAAAAAACTGTGTAAATAAATAAAAAAACGCATAAAAATGAAGTAAACTTTTAAAAAGGTACCTTATTTATATATACATAAATTAATCGCTGTTTTTGAGAAAATGAAAGAATAGTGGATTCTTTTCTCTTCAACAATGTGGGACCATTTTCAATGAATTATCCTTTGTTTTAAAAAAAATATACCTCTTTCTTTTTTAAAAATTATTTAAAATTGAAATGTAGCCCGGAGAAAACAAAAACGATTTACAATTAAAACTGGGAAACGCAAAAGAAGAAAATAAAAAAAATTGCCGCAAAGAATTGCCCTCAAAAGAAATACGGCGCAGAAGATACTTCCATTTTAGATGTTATCAAGTATGATGAATAGGGGGAATTATTTTATTTTTTTTTAATTTTTTGTTCTCTTTTTTTCGCCAACCTGGCCACATTCGGCACCTTTTCATCACATTTACTTTGAGATTCCAATTAATATGCCGACTGGGGCGACCGTCCCGTTCCTCCTCCCCAAAGTGAAAGGGAAACTTTGCAAACATGACAGTAAAATTGCGCCCTTATTTTTCCACTCCCCCGGTAACAATATTGCATATAAATTTTATGTCGGTTAAGAACGGTTCCTAAGATGGTCACCCCGTTAAGAAGGAAACTGGGCTGGCCGATGCGAAGTAGCAGTTGGATTGGATTACATATACCTATACCTCCCCATTGCGCTGTTGCTAACGTAGTGCTATACGTTAATATAGATGAGAAACCCCCCGCAGGAAAAGAAATAACAAACATGCAAATAGGGTCCAGTGCGTTTTGTTTTACATATAAAAAAATATGTGCGCGCTTAGTATTTTTTTTACTACGTTGATGGCGTTATAATACTCCTAGTCGACACACGTTCGATTTTCCCTGCTTCCACTGCTAACCTCACTTGTTCGAAAAGGCAACCCATATTATAACTGTACATTGCCGCGGTTGCAGCTATCTTCCGCTTGTTACTCGATTCGCGAATTGTTTTCTAATGAAAAATGAAGAAGCGAAGAAGGGGAGAGAGGGGCGACGCACCATTGAAACGCCAAAAAAGGGAACGAAAAAATTGGCTGTTTTTTTTTTTTTTTTTTGCGCATATGAATATATATATCACATTTTTGTGCTCCTCCCAACGGGATGAAAAAACCTGCTGCGTAGAAATGTATCCAAGCGGACACGTGCCCTTAGCGCCTGGGTTAACAGCACATATAAAAAAATCAATAATATACTTCATAAAAAAAGGTTTATTACGTGCGTAGGCTATAATATATACATATACCACCTTACGCTTTATTATATATTTGCTGGGCGGCAATTTTATATGTACTGTACCTTCAACCCCCCAAAACATCCACTTCTGCATGCAGACCTACGGGAGGAGCCTCCCCCCAACCCATTCGCTGAGCATGCGTCAAATTAGTTCAGCTTTAAATGGCCCTGTTTGCTTGCGCTTTATATGCATGGCGAAAGAAGAAGCACGGCAGTGTATGCGCGTTAAACGTCAGCAATGCAAATGTTGCATATATATACATGCTATCGTATACATAAGTGCCGCGTTTACTGTACTATCCGTACGATGAGTATATTGTTCAGGCCCTTTTCATGCGTTCGCCCCATGCGTATTTGCTGCATCATCGGAGGAGTCCTTTTTCTGTGCCCCAGCTGATAAAAAAAAAAAAAGAATAAATAAAATAAAATAATAATCGAACCGTGCCAATCTCCCCAAAGCGCAATCGAATAGAGGCCAATTTTCTTCTCCTTAAGAAGGAAAAAAAAGTTGCGAAATTTACCTATACTAAGTATTTTTTTTTTTTCTTTTTTTTTCCATTTTGCCTAATCTTCGTGTTACAAAATAAAGACGAGACTAATTTTTGCCATTGTACCACATGTTCACCGAGTGCTTACGTCACATATTACTTTTGCCCATAACTGAGCTTACAGCATTATATGTGTTTTTTTCACCTGCTCACAAGTGAACATTTAATTCTTCCAGGATTATTTATCTGACGTGTTGCCAAGGCATATCATCAAAAGAGGACTCCAGCGAATACGCAACAGAGGCCAAGAAAAACAGCCGCCCCTTACCCATATTTGCGTATGTAAGCAGACGGGGAGGGAACTTACTCTCAGATAGAATTTTTTTTTAAGTGGAAACGCACATCGGTTTGCAGACAAGAGAAGGAGGCAATAATTTTTCCGGTCCTTTTTTTATTAACGAGTTTTAAAGTGAGCGCAATTTTGCCTCCCCATTTTGCCTCTTCATCTTTCTTTGCCTTTTTTGAGCTTTTCAAAATTGTTGACATTTCCCCTTTTGAGGAATTTGCGCTGTATTTTTTTTGCGTCCAGTTTTCCCGCCAGCTTTTGACGAGGCATATATCAAGGGTGACGAAAAAAGAGAAGCCATACGAGAATAGCTCTTCGGAAGAGGCGCGTAAAGGAAACGGATCGATCCCCCGCTTCACCGCTACGCCCCTTCACTCCTCAACCTAATCGCCTCCCCCCCCAATGAAAGTTCTGTTCTATGCCAGTTTGTTCCTGTTGGGCCTCGCCGTCGTGAGCGCCAAGGGGGAGAAAAACAACATCCTGAACTCCATGAAAAATGATGGAAGAAACAAAGGCAAAGGCCAGAAGGCGGGCGCGAATGCGACGATGCAGGATATGTTCCACTCTGACGAAATCGAAAAAATCAAAGAACTGATAAAAGAGAACAAGCTGGATGAAGCCAATGCGCTATTTAACCAAATGAAGAAAACTTACGGTGGAAATGAAAAAGCTGTCGGAAGTGAACACTACATGGCGAGTAACAACTATGGACGAAATAAAGACGAAAATAAATTAACACAAGATATTATGAATAATAGTCAGGACTTCTTCAACAATTTAATCAGTCCAAGTGATCTCCAAGAAATGATAAAATTTTATATGTACTTGCAAAATCTTTTAAGTTCCAAAAATGAAACTTCGGAAAAGAAGATGGTGAAAACATTTCTGAGAAAAACAATCCAAAAAATGAAAGACAATGAAAAAAATGAAGAAAAAAGATCCATTGATGATATCATAAAGGATACCGAAGGACATACACAAATGTTGGAAAAGCTAGCAGATCTCATGAAAATAAAGAAGGAGAATCTGCAAAATGAGGAAGTCAAAAATAAATTAAATCAAATACTCATTGGTATGATGAAGTTCATCGATTACACAAACAATAGCGATATTACAAAGGCACTTATGGACGAAATTAAAATTAAGGAAGTTAAAAACGCCGATGGTACGTCCAAGCCAAAGCTGCAAGTCAACATGGGAAGCAGTAAGGCTCATTTGGAGATGCTGCAAAAGGCCACCAACTTTATGGGTATGGACATTGATCCCGAGGAGCTTAAAAACCTCACCATGAACAATAAGTGGTACGAGAACTTTCTGAACAACCTCCTCAACAGCTCGGACGAGTTATGAAGTGGTGAGAAGTGAAGAAGTGGTGGGAAGTGAAGAAGTGGTGAGAAGGGAAGAAGTGGTGAGATGTGCGCAGGGATGGAAAGAACCCCACCGCTACGTTACGCTTCGCGAAGCAGCGAACCGATGTACAGCCCCATAAGTGGCTCCACCCTCGCAGGGGAAGCGCTTCAAAAGGGTCGTTTTCTTTACCAGAATGCTCAACGAGTGGGAAAGAACGCCAAATTCGTTCATACCACGGGGCTTCCCCCAAACAGGAGCAATTCCCATCGTATGGCGCGAACTCCCGCCCCTCCTCACAAGGAGAAGCCAATATTTCTCGACGAACAAATATACCACTACCGTCTGTTTGCACATTATTTCTGTACACGGATTGTATACTTTTTGTGTAGTCCTTCCTTTTTTTTTTTTTGCCGTACATTATTCATATATTTTTCCTTCCCCCCTTTGCAATTACGACATAAGAAAATTAACCATTTTCCAGTTTTTTTTTTTTTTTTTACGTGAATTATGAGAATAATAAAACGTTATATTTTGCTCCTCCTGCATTCCAATTTTTGATGAAACTTTTTTTTATATTTTTTTCCCTCCTTTTTTGAATCCAATTTGCACACGCCTTGTATGCTTTCTATACGGACGTTTCTGAATTTGTGTGCACCGGCGCCTTGGCGCTTTTCCCAACAAACTCCATTGTCCATTGATTATTTCCATTTTGAAGCAATCCTTTTTTTTTTACGACTCTGCTTTTTTTCCATACAGCAACGGCGAGGATGAAAATGTCCTTCCCCCTTCTTGTCAAAAATTCTTCCTCCGCAGGGTGTCCCCCGGAAAAGAGAAAATTTCAACCCCTCCATCCCATGAAAGATCTTTTTTAAATTTTAAAAAAATGTGCAAACGTCACTTTAAGTGAAACTGTGCTGAGGTATACTTGGGCCGACACAAAAAAGTTTAGTAGTGGAGAACAACTCGATTGGGAATGGCATCAGATGGTACCGCAGTCAAAGGGCCCCCTGAATAATCACTCGTCTTGGTGCAGTTTGACATACACAGCTTTAATATAACGAGAGGGGGATGAGAAGACGGGCATATATAGATATGGCTAAGCCCCCTCTTGAAAGGCTAAACAAACGAGTGAACAAAACGACGATGAATTTTTTTCATTGTTTAGAAAGTTCCTCGCCCCTACGTTCCCAACCGCTTAAAAAAGGTAAACTTGAATTCATGGGGGGAAACCAAGTGGGCATGCCAAAAAAAAAATTTCTTTTTTTTTTTTTTTCTTTCTCAAAAGATACGCAAATCTGCCCCTTTTGGTGTGCATCTACATGGGCTCATGTATGTACATGCGTTGGTTCCAAAGCAGGACACATGCGCGGGGAGTTATTTTGCGCCTATAGGAGGGGCTTCTGCTTTTCGCCCACCCCACGGCTGAGGCATCTTTGCATTTGCGGCAGGCATTTTGCCTCACATCATATTGCGTAATTTTTTAACCTTTCCAACTTTTAAGCAGATTAATTGCTAAGAAGATTAATCGCTAAGAAGATTAACCGCTAACCAGCTGAATCTTCTAACCGCTCTATTTTGGGGCCCGTTTTTTTTTTTTTTTTTGTTTTTTTCCACTCCACGGCGCAGCTGCGTGACCGAGAAGAATCCCCTGGCAGATTAAGCCCAATTTTGAAACGTCATTCGGTTATTCAGCCACGCGTTTGTTCAGCAGCCCGTTTGGCCATTTTATAACCACGAAGTTGTTAACTGACTCTTCACTTATGTGATTTCCTAGGTGGGGTTATTTCCCACGTTTGGCAATTTCCCACGTTTGGTAATTTCCTACGTTGGGTGACTCCCTTTCCCCCCTGCCGTCGCACCTCCACCTGAGAAAAGAAGGCCCCTTAGCCACCACCACGCAGAAAAATTCCCACCAGAAGTTTAACCCTCATTTTGCCTTCCACCCCCATCAGCACAAATGCAATAATTGGGCATCCGCTCACACCCGCGTCGCCACCCTCCGATTGGGAGCATTTCTGTCAAGCATACCACTTCGCCCAATCCTGGAAAAGTACAACAAAGCAACAGAGAGAGAGAACAAAATAAATAAAAAAAGGAGTGCACAAAATGGATGATGAGGACAGAATTAAGAGTATCTACCTCAGCTTGAAAAATAAAAACAAGAGAGAATGGGCTGAGATGATGCAACACTTAACGAAAGACCAGAAGAGGAGATTAATCTTTTACATAAGGAAGAAAAATAAAAATTCCCGTAAGTTCATTGAGGGGAGTATATTCACCTAGACGTGTCTGTGCGTGTGTACTTTTTGCTTTTCCGTGGCGCTCCCCGAGGGAAAGCCTCCCCCCCGATTCCGCCTCACCCCTGTTGGTATTATCACGATTGTCTTCAATCCCCCCTTTCCAGTCAACAAAATCAACAACATTAAAGTCGAAAGGAGGACTGAAAAGGATATCAAAAAGGTTAAGGCCAAAAGTAGCAGTCACCACCGACAACAGATTCTAATTGATTACTCCAATGTAAGAAATTAGCCCCGTATGGTTGGGGAAACGGAAACCATATGGTTTGGGCGACCATATGGATGGAGCTACCTTATGGGAAAATTAAAAAAAAAAAAATCCATGGTGTATCCCCCAAACGGGGGTCATTCCACATAAAGTGTAACAACCAAACCGATCGGCTAGTCTCAAACGAGAAGTTCCCTCACTCTGTGTTTTTTTCCCCACACACATGAATTATCCCATCCAGGTAAAGTACGATCTAAATCTAAAAAACTACATTGCCAGAATACTGCGCATTTACAATCTGAAAGACAATTTCGATTTCGTGAAAGGTCTCCACCTCTATATGAACATCCTCTGTCATGTCATTTTTAAAAAATTCTCATTCGAATATAATAAGAGGGACTCGAAAAATAAGAACCTCCTCATATTCCTGAAGAACCTCTTCCCCTTTGAGTTCCAAAATTTCCAAGACATATATAACATGAGATGGAGTAAAGATTTCAGCGCCTCTGAAAATGTCCTCACTGTAGCGAACTCGGCAAGTGCAATGAGCACAGGAAGTCCAAATTCCACAATGAGTGACGCGGGGGCACCATATGACAGACCCAGACAAGTCTGTCACGCATGGGATGATGAGAACAACGTGAATTCTTCCCAGCTGGGAAGCCAAAAAAAGGGAACACAATCTGATAAATGGGCTAGCACCCATCCGTTGTGCCCACACAGCGGTAGTATTGGCGGCCTGGGTAGCGATGCAAAGAATAATGGCACGCCCGCCAGTTCGTTGGAGTGCTCTCTGCCAAGTATGGGTTGCACAACTCCTTTGGAGAGTCCCCAAAGTGGAGCCGCAGTAAAGGGAACCTCCTTCAATGAAATCGCAGCCAATGAGACGGCCGCCAATCAAATGACTGCCACTCGAGCTGCGCTCCACTCCAACGTGTTAGTCAAAACGGAGCCGGAAGACCCCGATTACGACAAGTGTCGCTCGGACGAAGATAAGTCAACGAAACCAGCAGAGGTGGAAGAATACCTAAATAGAGACATCAAGAGAGAACCCTCAGTTTACGAATTATGCAAACACAAAGACATGAATCAAATGTTAAAAAACCTTTATGATGGAAGAAGGTTCGATTATAGAATTCGATTCAGGAGCCTCCTCTCGAGAAGGTTAAATCACAAGGAGTATGAAAAATATTGTGACATGAGGGAGAAATTATTTAAGTACAAAAAAAAAAACTTTATTAAATGGCTAGCTCATTTTACTAATATTAACACTCTGGATCTTTATATTGTAAATTTTTTCATTTTTCTCTTCCTCGATCGGTTATACTTGATTCTTGAGACCTACATCCGACTCAACTACAACGGAACAATGACATCTGCTTCATCGAGTGGCTATTTGTTTGACCGTGTGGAAGATTTTCCAGACTTCACGCACTTGTTGGATAGTCTAACTGAGGTGTCTCCTTGCGCGGGGGAAGCAGTCCAAGGCACCATCCATCCAGGTGCAAACGAGGGGATGGCAGGAAAATACGACGTAGAAGTGCTTAGCGGACAGTACGATAACATCGTCAAGGAGAACCCTCAGAATTTCTTCCTCTCCCTTGATTTGATTTACGACCTAGACATACATAACTTTAAGATAAAAAACAAAATCTCCTTTAAGAGGCTAATCCGGGTGGACATTTCCTCCTACATCAACGAAACGAATATTTATGGCCTCATCCAGTTTGACGAGAAGGAAAGCGCGAGCGCATGGAAAGCCCTCACGCGTTTCACTCTCATGCAGAATAAGTAAGGCGTGGGAGGGGAAAAAAAGGAAAAAAAAAAAGAAAAAAAAGAGAAAAAAAGAAAACAAAAACATTAGTCCCCTCTTCATTTCTACACACCGCTTCCCCCTCCCCCCTGTGTAGGAACCTAAATCTGCCCAAGTTCAACTGCTTCTCCATTTTCCTAATTGTCCGATTCAAGTACTACCTAGAAGAGTTTAAGCAGTATGCCAATATCGACTACATTTACAAAACAGTAGAGGAGGAATACCACCAAGTGGAGAAATATCTGACAGATAAAAATAACAGTCAGGAGGAAGGAGGCATCCACGTAACCCCCCAAGATTGTCCACATGATGAGAACAGTGCTACAGCTGCTACAAGTAACCCCGGTAGCGATAAAGAATTTGAATATAGCCATTTGATTCCCTTGTACCTGGATCTCCACAAGGAGTTCAAAAGGGTAGGAACTGTTTTACCCCACTCAGTAAAAAGGAGAAGAAGAGTCTCACCGCGGTGGGGCGTCTCCTCCGTTTTGTGGAAAGCATAATGAGTCTAAAGAACTTCATCACAGGGGTAAATGTTCGAAATGATTTTCACTTATACGTCTTTACAGTGTTGTACTTCCTATCTTTTTTTTTTTTTTTTTTTTTTTCCTTTTCCCCCATCAGGTCAATGAATACATACGATTTTATGGAAACCTCCTGTCGTTTGTAAACTTCATCGAGAAATATGCAAACTGCAGCCCCTCCAAGAATATCGTGAAGATAGAACAGGAGGAGAAGGAGGTGGACTACTTCGACCATTCCTTCTTCCTCACATCTCATTTGAGAGAAACGGTGAAAAAGGAGTAGTGCCTGCGGCTAGCCGAAACAGGCGATGCGTAATCCCGTCTGGCCACTTCCAACACCACGCAGCTTTTCTCCTGTTTAGTTCACACTGAATGTATTTTCTTATCCGCCATGTCTCAAAGAAAAACCGTTTACTTTAAATTCGTCTTGTTTATCTTTTCCAGAAAAGTGGCTTTCTCACTTCTCAAATTTTTTTTTAGTTTTCCAAATTGGTTTTACAGCCATGTGTTTGGCGCATTTTGCTCCTACTACCCCCTCCCCGCTCATAGTATGTACTTTTTTGACTCATGCGGCTTTTACCCCTTCTCGTTTTATGTACGAAAAAAAAAAAAGGGAAGGAAGATGCTTAAGGATCGCAACATGACCAGCAGTTGTACCTCCTCTTCAAAGGCATAACGATTGATACCCATGCATAACGCATTTGTAGACGTGCGAACGTGCCCGCCCATCCCACCAGCTCAATTGAAAACGAATCCGCAAGAAAGCGTCACAAAAGGGAGTTCAAAAAAAAGAAAAAAAACACACATATACCTATATATTAATATATACGTATGTAAAGTCAAAATGTTAGCACCCCTCCTCTGGAAGTGCAATTAAAAAAATTGCCCATTACACAAGATGGTTGCGCACAGAGAAACGAAAATGCAAAGCGCTAATAACCGTTCTGCAAAAATATTTTCAAAAAAAAAAAAAAAAAAACGCCTAATGGAATGTATGTCCTGCCTTCAGCACACTCCCTCTCATCACCAAGTAATCAATCAGAGTAGTGTGGACATCTTCTGTGGGAGAGCCGAATTTACTTGTCGTTTAAAACGTCTCCTAATGGATGAAGGTACGTGTTTTGGAAATGTGAATAGGTTGGGCGTGCAGTGAACCTGGTAGGCCGCTACCCAGATGTGCCGCTAAGAACGTGAGGAGGCAAACTCAATGCAGAGCCCTACTGTGTCCTTTGAAGTACTTCTCCCGGTAGTAAAGAATTTTCCTTTTCTTAATTTTGGACTTCTTCAACAGGGACCAGAATTTGTCCTCCTGAGGGGGGGAAGTTGGCGAAGGCATTGGCGATCTGGGTTTTCGATGGGGGGTTCTCGATCAGGGGTGGCGAACGAGGTTAGGAAGCAGAATGGCATCTTTCGCCACAATGACAATCTCATAGTGATTGTAGTGCTGGCCTCGTTTTCCTTTCCCCCTTACGCCCGAGCTGCTCACCTGGATGTGTGTGTTGAAAGAAAAGGCGGACAAGTTCTTTACGACGACGTCCACATTCTCCACGTGGTGAAATTTGTTGAAGTAGGTGAAGATGCACAGGATGGTCTGCGGGGAGAGATAGGCGGCGGGGAAATGGGAACTACGCGAAAGACCAAATTAAACGGAGATGCTAATCCGCTCACATGACATAAGAAGAATCCATCAATAAGCAGGCGCGTGTCCCCAATGGTCTTCTACACGCATAAGGGAAATGAGTGTCCATCTCCCTTCGGGAAAAAAAACACACCTCAATTGGGACACATTTTTCCACTTACCTCATATATTATTTTTTCATTAAAAAGGTATATGTCGAATAGGCGAATGAAAATGTGAAAGGGGAGACACCTGCAAAGGAGGGGGGACAAATATATATCCGTTTGGACAAATGGATACCGGTGACCGCTTGGGTGGCTGTGACTGTTTGAGTACTAAAATGGATCAGTCCCTTGGGGAGAAACTCTTCAGATGGAAAAGGAAGCGTGGCAACAAAAAGTACGACACACTCGACACGGGCATCGAATCAGTGTTGTTATAATATTACGTCAGAAAAATGGTGTAGATCCACTGAATGAAGATATTATCAATGTTATATTGCTTGGAGATTTCTTTATATATTTCGACGTTCTGCTTTGTTAATATTTCCTTGATTATGTAGGTGTAAGCTTTTATTTCGTTGTTGTTGAAGCTGTAGAGGTTGTAAATGTCCTTTCGCTCCTGATAGGGGAAGGGGCATTGAGAGGGCATCGTGGGGGCGTTAAGCGGGCGTTATAGGGGCATGCTCCGGCGTGGCTACACCAACCAGCTACTACGCCGGCCTGACACCGTAAACGCAGCTGCTCTTCCCCCTTACCATAAAGTTCGCAAAGTGCACGAAGGCCTTCTCCAAATTGCAGTACAGGAGGAACACCAGGGCGATGTAGGACATCCCCTGCACATACCTACGGGGAGGGTGGTCAATGTGTATGTATAGGTGTCTACATATACGTGTTTTTATATGCGTGTCTATCGCACCACATGCACATGTGCACCTGGAAGACGCCTCTTTTTCGAGAATGGACAATCTTGTGCATATGGACAGATAGGATCCCCATGCTCAAGGTATCAGCCTTCTCCTCACGCCATCGTTCCGTTACGCCGCCTTACTCCGCTTCCTTACCCCAACTCCGGCTTAAACACAACGTACATCTGCAGCAGCGTGTTCAGCTTCGCCTTCATCTCCGCCAGGTCCAGTGTCAAGAGAAACGTGTCCGTACTCACGCCGTGTTTTCGGAAGTATTCTTGATTCTTCTTTATTATGTATAACGTTCTGTCCAGATCGATCAAAATTTGGTAGAAGAATTTCTGGAATGAGAATCGCTGCAGAAGGTTCAGCCCGGCACTACAGTTATCCTCATCCTTCCGCTGCGCTGTCTCTTCTTCCTTGGGCTTCTCGCCTTGCGACTTCTCCACGTGCAGCTTCTCCACCTGTGACTTCTCCCCCTTCTCAGTCATCCCGCTACTCCCCGCATCGTCCCCCATAGCAGGTCCATCCGACTGCACCCCGCCAAGGCTGCTATTTCGAAACGTAATTAACGATTTAAAGTACTTACTCACGTGGTTATGATACTGCTGGTTGTTCGTATAGACATAAGACTGGATAAAGTTAGTATTCTTAATCAAAATTTGGACAAAGTAATCCGTTATGTTTAGCTTATTAATGATATTAACTTCCCAAAAATATGTTTTGATAAGAATGGGCATATAGTTCGTAATCATAAGATCGATTAGAGTTTTTTTTTTTTTTTTCATTATTAATGAGGGGTAGGATTTCTTCATACCATAATGTCACTGCCGTTATTTCTTCGAAATTGACGGAGATTTCGTTGGGCTCTGTTTCTGAGTCTACTTTCTTTCCCCCTTGGTAGCCGCGCTCGTAGCTCTTTTGCCCTCCTGCGTGGTTTCTCCCGCGCAGGCCCTCGTAGTTGCTCCTCTTGAAGAAGTAGCTCCTCTGGTTGTTGGAGCGCAATGGGGTGTGGCTATTGTCGTCATGGTTGGGATCGCGCTGACTTCTTCGATGACTTCCCCCCTGGCTGTCACTGTTGTTGCCGTCGCAACTTCCTCCACCGCTAGCGTTTTCCGACGGGACCGAGCCCTCGTTCTCACTGAGCGGCAGCTTCACGTACTCGTTATTATGATCATCCATGTCCTCGTTATTATCGATAGTGTCAATCTCCACCTTTGAGTAGCCAGGGTCGTCACTGTTGTTGTCCATGGGCTCCCATTTGGGCGGCTTATTCTTCTCCCCATTCTTAGCCGCTTGATAGTACTTCTTCCTATGGCTGGATCTTCTCTCTCCTTTAGCCCAATACCCTCCACCCTTCTCGTCCTCCTCCATCTCTTGACTCTTTTTGACACTCGCATAGGCCGACGTGGCCGCGGAGGCGGACGCTCTGTCTACCCTTGACCCAGTTGGCACATCGCAAAAACTGTCTTTACTTTTTTTTTTTTTCTTATTAAAGAAATTTAAAAAATAGTTATTGTTCACAAATTTTTTACCACTGATTTTGTTTTTCTCATTCATATGACTACTACCAAATAAGTCTTCCCTACTTTTGATTAAAACTTTCTGCATCTCGATTATCCTCTTCAGATTTTTAATTTCATTTTGTAGACCTTTATTTACCTGTAACAGCTCCACGTACAATTCGTGATAGATGACATTATGGTTGTATTCATCATATGCATTTTGTGATACTTTTTCTTTGCTCCAACTTTTTTTGTTCACCTTAATTGGGAAGACAAACTTTTCTTTTTCATTTGTCTCCGTCGATGTGTTGTTTTTCCTTGGTTGTTCCGTCTTCGGGGTTATTACTGCCTCTTCCTCCTCTGCGAATTCGTGCTTGGTGGACGTTTCCCACTTTGTCGACTCGGAACGCCCTTTGTACGGGGTGTTCAAGCCACTGTGTGACATTATTTCTGTCCTCTGTCCTGAGGGCCCACCTCCCCCAGGGGACTCATCCTCGAACAAGAGGGAGACTTTTCCACCCCGCACACGCACAGAAGAGGAAGAAGAAGCACTACTAGTTCTTCTTTCCCATGGGTAAACATCCAACTGCTTTCCATTCGCCATTCCTTCTTGTAGTATGAAAAAGTTTCCTCTCAACTTCTGATCAGTAAAGGCATCCTTCTGCTCGAAAATGTTATCATTCAGATTAGCAATTATGCTCTCCGAAAAGTTTATATTCTTCTCAACCGTGTCGTCGTATACACTGCAACTATCTGGCTCATCATTGCCCTCCATCATTTCGTCATTTTGGTTTCTCAGGACTGGTCCTCGCTTCGACTTGGAGCCTTCATTGCTGGCGCGTTCATTCTTTGAGGGTTCATTCCTTGTGGCTTCCTCCACTGCGGCTGCTTCCCCTGCGGCAGTATCATCCTTTTTTCTCCCGCCGCCCCCCTTCAAATGCATGGTTTTCGCAGGCAGTGATTTTTGTGGTGCTCTGTTGCGGCGCTTAGAGTTAGCACACTTGACCGTTCATTTTTGCTCCCTTCTGGTTTACTTCTCATTCGCTTCTCATTCGCTTCTCATTGGCTTTTCATTCGCTACTCATTCTATTAGCACCATTTCTTGTTTACTTCTTTCTTTTTTCTTCTCCTCTTCGCGCGCATGAATCTTGAGCGACCTTGTGCCTATTGTACTTTCCAAAAAATGTGCAAAGGGAAAAAAAAAAAGAAAGGATGTTCAACCTGACAGAGAATAACTGAGCACATTTTTAAATCTTCCTGGGGGCTGCGGCTTCGGCATGGACGTAACAGGGACCGTGTTGTGTTGTGTGTCGTTTCTCGTGCGTCACCAACGCGGTCCGTGGGACCTCCGTTCATTGGCTAATTCGTTCACTCCCTCACCCCTATGTGCGGTGTCCGAATTGTTTGCGCCAGTCTGTACCCCTAGGCGACCTCTTTCTTACATATAAATGTCGAGTTGACGTACTTCTCTCTCTACCTGGCCAATGGCTACTTCTTCACCTCATTCTGCTAATTCGTTTCCTCCTAACGTGACACCACGGACATGGAACCCCTATATTGATAATTATTTCCTACTCATCCCTTTTTAACGTAGCAACTCATGTACTACCCATTCTTCAACCTCTGCTCATTTGCTCTTCTCGAATATTCACTTACCGATGTGGGCTGCCTGGCCAAGTTAAATTTTTTCCACTTAACGTTATTTTCTTCAAAAAAATTGTGACAATAAAGAGAAGAAAAAAAAGAAGAGAAAGAAAAAAACATAGGTTATTTTTCCCCAACGACGCAGTGCGAGGAATTGCGAAATTTTCCCCCGCGTTGGTGTGAAACTAACTGAGCATACATACATTCTGATGTGCCCGCCCTCTGGGATCAACTAGAGAGTCATAAATCTTCCAGAAGAGTTATCCTGGTGAAGCTCCTCACGTGCATTCGCAGGAAAGGGGAAGTCAGAAGGCAGAGAGGTGCGACTAGTGTGGCGGCACAGACAGGCATAGCACCACAGACAGGCATAGCACCACAGACAGGAATAGCACCACAGACAGGAATAGCACCACAGACAGGCATAGCACCACAGACAGGCATAGCACCACAGACAGGCATAGCACCACAGACAGGCATAGTAACACACACAGGCATAGTAACACACACAGGCGTAGCACCACAAAAACCATGTCGCACGAGAAGGGCGCAGACCCCCAGGACGCCGCGCGTGAGTACTACTACCTCTACATATTCTTCAAAAATCAGTGCATCTATAGCATTGATTTAAAAAATGAGGAAAGGGAAAAAAACATATCGCCAAACAAAATCGAGAAGGAGAAACTCCTCTTGGGATCCATCTATGCTCTCAACTACCTCTGCTTCAACATACAACCGAACAAGAAATTAAAAAATCTCTACAAGTGCATGCAGAATGTTAATAAAAATATGAACCAGAGTTTGAAGACACATAACCAGAATATTGCCAACACACAGGACAACCTACACGTGGGCAATTTTAATTCTTTCAACACCCCCTTTTACAAGCTGCACTATTTCGAAACGCTCACAGGTTAATTTGGAGTGCAACCACCTCGGTTGTACTGGGGCGATGCGTCTGAGGAACACGTCTGAAGAACATGTGTGAGCACCACCGCTGGGTAGCACACATCAGTTGGAATGTTCCCCCCCTGGGGTTCTGTTTCATCCCAATCGGATACCTCCACTTCTTCCCTCCTCACAATTGCAGCCTACAAGTTTGTTATAATCACTCATAAGAGCACCCCGAATTTGTCCCACTTCTTGAGAGACATCTACAAGACCATATTCCTCGAGTTTATCATCCTGAACCCACTTTACAATGTAGGAAAGACAAACACGTGTAAATTTGCGCGGGTCGAATAAGTGCCTTTTTCGACATGAGGGGAATTTCCCACAGCGGAGCAACCCTTTTCTGTGTCAACATTTTTTTCTTTTTTTTTTCCCTACCCAGACAGGAGACGAGATACGGGACAAATCATTCGACGAGAAGATAATTGACCGCATTAGGCGGCTGACTCCAGCGTAGATATCACTTACCATCGATTCAGCATCCATTCATCAGCGATTCAACAGCGTGTAGCAGCACCTTGGTACTGCCCTCAAATCGGACAGGCCATACATCCATGTGTACACATAATATATGTGCTGCACATGTGTACATTTTTACTTACGCATATACGCCTAACAAGGCAGGCTCAGGGTGACAGCATGGGGAAAAGCCCATCTCCTGGATAAAACCGGTCAACACCTACTGACAAAGAAATAAATGGTGTTTGGTTCCAACTCGAAACTGCCGCTTGACCCTTCGCACAACTCATCACCGACGTGTACTCACTACTGTTCACGCAAGATACGAAACAATTACACACAAGTCAACCATGGCGATGAACGCAGAAACATTTTACGGCAAAAGGAAAAGGGAGAAACCCATCTTCGAAGTAAACATAGAAAAATACGGCATCCTGAAAAGGCTAAGACGATTCGATCAGTCTATTTCGCAGGGTGTAAAGAAAAGATGGTTCTACAAACAGCACGAGGCCCTTTCGCATTACGCCCAGCTAGTTGAGGTAGATTTAGAAGCGAAAGCAGATACTGATGTGGAGACGGGCAGGGGGGCGCCCCGAAGTCGGACCGCCTGCTCCCGCAACGGACAGGGGATAATTATATACACGGAAGAGATAGAAAACGGCAAGAGATGCTTCGTACTGGACAGTCTGTACCGCTTCCTGCAATTTTACTGCCTCTATGCGTTGTCGTTGGAAGACATATACTTCGATGATGGCGGGGCGAAGGACGGGAAAGCACACAAATTGTCCTTATGCAAATCAGCGCCATGCGGATCCCCGCCAAACGAACCCCTCACAGGTGATCCCCCACCAAATGACCAACCGATGCACCTCTACGAACTCATCCTGGCGAATGAAAAGCGATGGCTCTTCTTCGACCTGGAGTGCGACGTGCTAAACGGACTCCAAAATAAGGACTGTCTGCTGTTCATATTCCTCATCGAGTTATGCCTATTCGTATACACCAACTTCGATGTAAAAATCTGCCTAAACGATGCAATCATTTTAGATAGCTCCACTAGCGAAAAAATATCTTTCCATGTAATTGTAAAAAATATTCATTTCCTCCCCGATGAGGAGGACTATTACGAATATTTAAAAGATTATTGTCACTTTTTTCAAAATCGCCTGAACAAGTCAGATGATTTTTTTTACGACAAGTACAAGAAAAGGCAAACTAAGTTTAGTGGAAAAATGCACCAGAAAAAGCTTCTCCTTTTTGACAATGAAAATTCCATAAAATATTTTGTCGACCTGTTTATAAATCACATCGCGCGAGCCATACAGGATAGTGAAAACGCTTGCGTCATTAATTTGTCCACTGTTTATATAGGGCGTCAGAAGGGATGTGCTCTTCCCAGTGAAGACAGCGCCAATCTGTGTTCCCTTGGCCGTACGAAAGTGGAAGACCGGACAAACGATACCCACGAGGGAAGCATCACTGGAGGAGGCGCAGCAAATGACACCACCCGTTGTAACTTCAAGGAGAGATGCTCCAATTTGTCTGCGCCAGAACGGGATCATCATGCGGGCGATTTTGCCAATCCTCACTCGCACAACGAACCGAGAGAAAAACTCGTTGAGGAGAAAACCCCACTTGACATGATAAACGACTTCAGCGAGATACACGATTTTGTGATGGCCATCAGTGGGGGGGAAATTCCTCGAGATGATAGCAAATGCGTCATTGGAAGGATAATTCCCAGCTGTCAGAGTATATCCCTTTGTGCAGGGGCACCAAACAAGGAAGGAAACAAACCCAGGGATATAAAAGAAAAAAGAAAAAATGGCTCGTACTTCTCCATGTACACTAAATCACTGAACGATATAGTGCAAATTTATATTAACAAATTGGAAAATGCAAAAGGAGACAATTGTTTTGACAGATCAGATGATAATTTCCTCATTCTGCTATTTGCAATGAAGAGAGACGAGAGTGTGGACAAACCGGTTGAGGAGAGCGTCCCCCCTATAGACAACAGAAAAGAGGAGCCAAGTGCCCAGAAGGACATTCCACCGGTAGAGGACACTGAGTACACCTCCCCGGGTGAAGAGGGAAACCTTCAGGGCGATCTCCAAAATGAGGAAAAACTTTTTCAAATGCAGAGAAGAACAAATGACCACCACGAGATGCTACTGCTCAAATGCATTGTGGACAACTCTGTGTATAGCAGGAACAGGAACTTCCGCATGATATTTTCGAGCAAAAAGAAAAAAAAAAATAACAGAAAATTGATGCTTAGCAGGTATAATGTTAAGAGATATAGCAAAGCGAACGTGGACAGCCTCATATTAAAAAGTCTGGTCACCTTTTATCAGGACAGTGATGCCAGTTGTCAAATAGGGGAGAACGTAATTTTTCAGACGGACGACATGAAGAAGTTTGGGCAGTCCGATGGGCAGCCGCTAGGATCGCTGCACAGATTCACGTGCGTCTGTCCCCATTTCGCTTCTTCCCGCTTCAGCATTGGCAGCGCGAGAAGGTCACGGAATGGAGCAACGCCCGTCATCAAAGAGCTGTCCGTACACAGAAGAATCCAACTGCACGACATTAATCATGCCCACGTGCACACCATTTTGAGAATTATTTTCTTCTGGAATTTTGAATTATATAAAAATTTTAAAAAAAATAAAATATATGTGAACAAATTTCAAGGAGAAATTAGCAAGGAATATTTTTACAGAATTGTTTCCATCCATAATAAGCTACAGTACGACCTGTACAGGCATGGCCCGAGCGAGGGGGAAGTCGTCCCATCGGAGGAGTATTCTGGCCTGGGAAAGGCATCCACGGAGGAAGTAGACAAAAAAAGCGACACATCAAGGGAGATGCGAAAGAACGATCATGTGTCCCCCCTGCGAAAAGGCATAATGACATCACAATTTTGCGAAAACTTAGACACATATGATGATTTGTTTTTAAAAAATGCCAACTTCTATTCGTATGTCTTGGATGAATATACAAAATGCACACAGATAGGAAAAGAAAAAAATGACTCCCTCCTCTTGCTCATAAAATATTTTCTATATTCCATCACATACAACGCGGAGGAGTACATTCTCCATTTCAGGGAAAACAAATTCTGTAAAAATAAGAGCCGTGCACACAAATCGAATCACATATACGTCGTTTTTAACCATCTCAAAAATCTGTTCGTGCAGAAATGCCACGACAGTGACTGCTCCCACTTCGTTTCGGAGATTTATTACCTATAGTGGGCAGCAGACACGCAAGGCCATCCTCCGAATAGGGAACTCCGCAGGGCTCCTTCTAGCCAATTTGGGGTTGCACTCTGGGGGAAAAGAAAAAGTCTTCCTCAAAGGAGAAGGCGCAATGGCCATGGCCGCACTGCAGTACCGTCTCTACTTGGACAAAATGTCATATTCGCGTTTTAGTAGATCGGATAACTCCCGCTCATATTTGGACGCGAACATTTTGTTTTCCACGTGAAACAAAAGTGTGTAGAAGGAATCCATGTCAAATTTATAATTCAGTATATTATTTTTTTTTTCATTTTTTAAAAGATTTCTCTTGTTTAATAAATTCCTCGTGTGGCATTTTAACCTCTCGGAAATGTTGTCACTTATGCCTATGTAAAAATATGGTTTTTTTTTTGTCTGCGCAAAAATGCACAAAATGTACACTACACTTTTGTTTTTAAAAAAAATGGGGACATCCTCATTCATTGCAATTTTAAACACCTTTCTTTTCACTGCATCTTCGATTTGTTCCATTGCCGCGGTAAGTTCCTTTTCCTGCATTTCGCGATCCATTTCACGATCCATTTCCGCGTCCAGAGCGGCGATCCGCAAATTTTGATCGTCCCTACAGTTGGGGAAGCTTCCAACATATGGCTTTTCCCTCTTCCCATTCAAATGATCCCCCCTTTTGCTAGCTCCCTCCTCGGGGTTTCCTCTCCGCAAAAATTCCAAACACTGTGTCATATTTTTCCACCTGTCTCGCTCCATTGCATCCATCATGTTCTCTCCCTCGGCAGCATCACCTTTGTGTGTTCTCCCTTCCTCCAAAGGGCCATTCAGACAATATTCAAAAAAATCGTGCATGCTTCTTTTTCCATCCTGTCCATGTTTACCTTTTACGTACTCCATAAATTTGTAATACAGAGTGTCACTTAAATTATGTATCAGCCTGTATTTCTGTTGGTACAAAGTTAAGAGGTCCAGCAGTTTCCCATCAACCTTTGTGTGTCTACACGTCTCCAACGCTTCGCTGTTTTTGCAGACGCCATTTTCCAACGTGGCTCTCTGTTCATACGTTTGTGTTGTCAAATAGTTGATGCTTTCATTTATCTTCTTAAAAACGATATTTTCGTTCAGGCAAATTTTCCTCAGCAAGTCGTAATTGTGTGTGATTATTATTCCGCAGTAGTTTTTGAGGTAGTCCGACAGGGCGCTGATGATGACTGCATGTGCGGGGAAGGGGGAAGCATTCTTTCGTTGAGCGTCTGCGCATTAGCGGCTGTTTATATGCGCGTTCTCAGTCGTGCTGCTCGGCGGAGTCCCCTTCTGCGGGGAAGGACACCCCTGCACATTACCCGCATTGTCAACTGGCGTCGTCGCTATGCAAGGTTCGTCGAAGAGAATGAAAATTTCTCCATCCCGAGAGGACTGCCTGGAGAAAGGGCAGTTTTCCTTGATCTCCTCGATTATTGAATTTATGTAGTAGGTCTGCTCCCTGAACAGGGACATGTTCTCGATTTGCTCCTGGTAGTTGACATTTTTTAAGCTGTAGAATTCGCGGAATTTCGAAACGATGCTTTTCTCCTCACAGGGGGCGTACATGCCTGCGCAGAGGAAGAAGTATCAGCAGTGGAGAAAACGCGGAGAAGCAGTGGATAAACCGCGGATAAACCGCGCAGAATGACCCTTCCGCGCATGGATTAAAGGACGAGCCCAACTTTGACGCATCGCGGTGAACCTACCCAGGTTGGCCAGAAAAAGGATACACAGCAACGTAAACGACAGCGTCGTCTTGCCACTCATATTTTTGCCAGTCAACAAAATGAATTTTTTCTTTCTTAAAAAAATATCGTACTTTACTAGGTTGTCTTTACTCATATTGTACGGCTTGGCCCCTAAAATATACGTAATAGATTCATTCATGTAGTTTTTTTCCTTATAAATTTTCTTTACCTCTCCGACTGAATCAGGATCTACATTCTGTGACATCTGTTTCTCTTCTTCTTCGTTCAATTGGATAAAATGCTGCCGATCTGGATGGTCCAAAGGATGGTTCGTTCCATCGGGGTTGCTCTCCTCCGCTGCTTCATTTCCCTCCTCATCGTACAGGCACTTCTGTATGTAACGCAGCTTCTCGTCCATATTGTCGAAGGTCTGCTTTGCGTACGTCACGGTTAGGTGCTTGCAGATGGGCAGGCTCCACTTGCGTTTGATGCTGTTTATGGTGTGGTTGTAGAGGGCCTGCGGGGGGGAGAAGGGAAAGTGGGCACGTGCATAATGCGGAACGGGGAAGGCTACACCTACACATGCACAATGCCTCGAGCGGAAGGAGGCGAACTACGACACACATTATCTCCCCTAGCGCGACCGACCTGCACGATCTGCAAAAAGTTAGACACGAAGGAAAGAATATGCACGGAAGAGGAGAGCTGAACATTTACGCCGCGAATGATGTCCGCGATTCGGCGCCTCTTCCTGTCAATGGCGGATAAATAGCTCCTGACTTTCCTCTGCACCTGTTCAGTCACATAGACGTTTTTCATCACGTCGGATTTTTTATTCAAGGGGTGAAAGAAATGACCAGATTGGAAATTCTTCCTCTTCTTCTTTATCCCAATAATGTCATTCGTGTTATCAACCTTAACGATTTTGTGTAAGTCATCTAAATCGTATTTGTTCTCCTCGCGATTCGCATAATCCCGAATGACCGTTTGGAGTAAATCCTTCCTCGCAGCTACGATCTCTTCATTCTGCTGCTTCAGCAAATTCTCGTTAACCAAATTATGCACCTCACTTTCATGATAAAAAACGAACTCGTTGAAGGCGGGAATTTCAGACCGGTAAGAAAAACTGGAGGGATGTAATTCCAAGTTGGCCGCCAAAATGTCTTCAATACTTTTCAGCAGATGATAAAATTTTACCACATTTAAATTGAAGCTATTCTGGTGATTCATCACTCGAAAAATGGATGTCAGCAGGGAGTACTCAAATCGGCTGATACATTTCTGTACTGCCTGCGCGTTGGTAAATATTTTCTTCAAAGTCGTATGATCAGCTTTGAAGCTTGAGAGAAGCGTTACAATGATGTTATTCCTAAATGGTCTAACATTGGGGATGATTAACCTCTCTTGATTCTTCTGAATATACTCATTTATGTATCTTATATGTTTCGTCACCTCAAAGGGGGGGTAAAAAAGGAAAATGTTTTTAAAAAATTCCATCGATTCGTTAATGTTGATGCTGTTGGAATCCCTATTGTCCACATCCACTATGTTGTAGAACAGGTAGCTGCTTCTGTTATCGTAGCAGTTGTTCTGCCTGTACACGCCCATATTGTAACTTGTGAATATGTTCAGGGGGGTGCAATAGGAGTAGTAGGTGTGGGCGTCCTTAGCGGGGTTGTCCCCCCCAACGTGGTTATCCCTCCCCAGATCGCTACTCATCCCCGTGTGGCTATCGCTACCCCCAACGCGGAACACACTCTTGTTCCTTATCAGCCTGAAGAGGCCCCCCACATTTATCTGCCGCTTCAGCTTGTCCAGAATAAACAGATGGAAGCGCAGACTGCTGGAGAAGTTGCTAAAAAGGTAGTAGTTTTCCACCCGAAACAGCTGCGTAATTTTCTTAGTAAAGCTGGAGTTATGATGCTGATGAATGTAGGCCTTTAAAAAATTCGTATTTTTCAAATAAACATTTAACACATCGAAAGTTATGTTGTCAAATATAGAAATGGTCTTCAAACTTAGATTAATTTTGGATAGGGAAAAGATATTCCTACTTTCGATGTAAATGCAGACAATTTCTTTCACCACGAAGTGGTCCTCCAAATCGTACGACTGGAAAAAGAGGTTATTCCCTTTATCGGTGGACTCATCCGTGTTATTACTCTCCCCCTGGCAGTACTGTATATTGTTCAGATAAATGGGAAACTCAGGAGTTACAATCTGAGAGAGGTACCTCTTCTTCATCTTCAACGACTTCTCATTCATCTCCTCATACACACAGATATTCAAATTGTTACTCGTCAGGATGTGGAGAGCTTTGTTGATGCTCGTCTTGATGAATCCACATGACAACTTATTGTTCATCTTTTTTATGTTTAAAAATTCGATTAGGAATATGCAATCCAGCCCATAGGTCTCATAAAAATCTCCGACCCTTACCAGAATAATGCAGTTACTGTACTTTTTTTTCTCTTCATTTAGGAATTTTAGCAATCCTTTATTTTTGTAATTGTCAAAGTACAGCAGATTATCATCCTTCAAATGCTCTACACAATTAATGGCGTTCATATTTTTCAGCCTCTCTAATTTCTTTATCCAGTAAATAGGTATTTTCCACTTGTTCTTGTACATTTGCAGTTCGTAGTCGGATGGCTCGAACTGGTTGCGGAGAGGCGTCGAGTTGCTGCTCCCGTCAGTGCCGCTATCCAGTCTATCGCTTCCTTCCTCATCCGCCAAGTTGTCCAAATTGCTGTTCGAGATGATGCTCGCCCCGGAGGTAGACTGATGGGTAGACGCATAGATCAAGCCATCGGTAGAGCAATCGGTAGGCTGATCGATCGACCCATCGCTATACTCATCGATCGACTGGCCGACCACTTCGGCTATCCTCAGCTTATCCGCTGACTTCATCTCCTCATTTCCACCCCCCCTCGGGGCGCAGCTATCCACCGGGTTTATCCTATATATGTCATCCTCACTCGTGTATATCAAATTGTTCACGTAGCAATTACTCACGCGAAATAGACTCTTCCTCCTCACGTTCACCAACAGGACCACTTTTCCCTTCCCCAGAAAGTTAAATAGAAGCTTCTTCCTTAGGCACATAGTATGTTTGGAAAAAAGCACATAAACGGCGATCAACAGGTTGAGGCACCTCCCGGTAATGCTTCTCATTTAGGCGGCCTTCTCCTCTCCTTTGCATGTTTCGCCTTGTCTCTTCTGCATTCTTCCGCAGTGAGTTCTCTGTGTGTGTGTTCAGGGGGGAAGCTTCACGGAGAGGAGCACTCTCACTTCTTCCCATGTGTAAACGCGCCCTCCACAAGTACCTAAACTGTGTACATCCGTACGACGCACTCTCCCTTCATTTACCACATACTTCTGACGAAGAGAGCATTGTACTTCTTCCGCGCCTCCCCAAGAGGGATACACTTACACGCGGTGGATGAGAAAAAAGAATAAATCCTCCCTTCCACATTTTGATCTACGAAAGAATGGCTCCCTTGCCACTTCCTTCTAGCTTCGAAAAAGTGCTCTCTTAAAATGGCACCTCAAAGAGGAGTCGCGTCACCACACTGGCGCGTTCCTCTGCAAAAAAAAAAAAAAAAATTACAACGTTAGAATAACAAAGTGTATGGCCTACAAGATGGATGATCGTCCCGAAACGGTGCACCTCATTTTCACGAGTGGCGAGATTGCTGAGAGAAGAGACCCAACTGGACAAATAAGTTGTCAAGAAGCAGAACACACCACGCTGCTGCGACGCAGCAAAGAATGCCACACAACGGCCAACCTGTAGTCAACTCAGCAGATACACGAAAGCGATCAAATAGGAGAAGCGTCCATCGGGAAGAAAGCGCTAATCGGAGAAGAAGCACCAATCGGAGAGGAATCCCCCTCTCCCTGTGTTGCTTTCCACTTCTTCCCCCCCCCAAGCGATGATCGGAATCACCATCATCACTGGGTTCCTCGGGGCGGGCAAAACCACCCTCCTCAAGAACCTCCTCAAGGAGAGCCTCCGAAATGGAAAAAAAATCGCAATCATCCACAATGAGTTCACCGAGAATAATAACAACATCGATAAAATTGTGTTCAAGGATATAAACGATATTTATAATTTCCCCAACCAGGGGGTAGCAAGGACGGGGGCCAAGGACGGAGCCAAGAGTGCTGAACAAAATGATGTGCACTCCGATCGCCAAAACGACCAAGAGGACCAAAACGACATAACCATCGTCAATCGAATCGAAAAAGAAGAGGGCTACATCTACGAACTGAACAACGGCTGCCTCTGCTGCTCCAACAAAAGCAACATTGTCAAGCTCATTGAAAATATCCTTTCCATGAAAAGTCACTACGACTACATCTTTGTCGAAGTGGCGGGCGTGTACGACAACATCCAGCTGAACAATCTGCTCTGGCTGGATGATCTGAACAAGTCTCAAATTTACCTTGACAGTATTGTCTACATTTTGGACGCGTATAACTTTGTGAAATCCTTCCAGAGGGGGGATTCATTCCGCGGTCATGGCGCCCTGGCGGAAGCTGCTTCCCTGTTCGCTTCCACGCAGGAAGAAAAGGAAAAGAACCTTCCTTGTGGGGAAGCAGCAGAGAGGACGAAAGAGGGGAATGTTAGCCTACCCCAAGAGGGCATCACAGAGGCCGCCCCTTCCCCCACCGAACAACTAATCGTCTGCGACGTTGTAATTATAAATAAGGTAGACAAAATTAGCGAAGAGGAAAGGGAAAAAATAAAATCCTTCATTAGCAATATGAACCCATTCAGTTCGATTTACCTGACCAGTTATGCTGCCCTCCCGATGAAACACCTAACAGAACTGAAATGTTACGAAAAAAAAAATATAAAAGATGTGTTGGAAAATTCGATGAGCAGTCACACTTCAGATGGAAAGGACATATTCCACTACAACCATTTTGTGAACTGCTCACTGCAGTATGAACACAGCATTCCCTACCTAGTTCATCTAAGTGAGCATATAAACAGAATGAAAAATCAATTTGTCCAATCGAAGAGTAAAAACACACTGAGAAAGATCCTTTCTTCAAAAAAGGAGAACATTTTCTCTTTCAAAAAAATTAACCAAGCTTTAGTTTCCCTCCTGTGGACAGAGAATCTGCAAATTTATCGAGGCAAGGGCGTCTTTGTCGCCTTCAATGATGATATCTACACTCACAAGAGCAAGCTAAAGCTAAACATGTATTATTACCAAAGTGTTGGTGACCTGTACGAAATCGATTTGGTGCTGAGCGACCTTCACACGTTTTTTCTCTCTTCCCTGGATTGGGTGCAAACACAGATGGGGAGTGTGCCACGGTTGAGTGATAACGAGAAGGACGATCCCATGGAACATCTCAACCATGCAGACGACGTCTCCGATATTGAAAACTACCTTTCGGACTCCTCCGGAAGGGATGGAAGTGACAGAAGCGGCGGAGAAGAGGGAAGTGGCAATCGTGGCAATCGCGGCAGTCGCGGTGAAGGCGAGTACAACGTAAAGAGCATTCTACGTGGGGGGGACGTCTTCGCGTCCCGCTTCCTTTTCATAGGGAAACATATCGACGTGGAGGGGGTCAAGCGAAAATTAAATGACTGCCTGTGTGACTAAATGGGACCAGTCGCCTACTACTCGAATGCGTTTCCCCAATTCGACAAGGAGGGGGACATTCCAACGGGAGGGACTAAGCAAATGGATAAAATCATTCTCTACAGTCGTCTCATTTTTTCACGTCTTTTTCTTATCCCCCCGATGAAGACACAGAGACATACGCAGACTGACACACCTACACACATGTCTTCGTCCGTCCTTGGAGCAGTTCGCTGCGCTATGTCCCACACGGAGGACCTTTACACCCTATTTTTCACTTCAATTTTTTACATTTCATGCAGCATATTTTGTTTTCATTTTCGTCTCTATGCAAACAAAAAACGAGCCAAGTGGAGGGGGGTAGGCGAAAGAAACCCCTCTTCCCGCTTCACTCGCCTGCACAATTCTGGAGTAACACACGTACGCAAGACAACACAGCGAGGGTGTTGAGAAGGGGGCATCGTCAAGGAGGTGTGGCGAAGGACGTATGTGCGCGTCTTCCTAAATGGCACCTACAGATCTGGGCTTCTACGTATATGCCTTTCTACACATATGCCATTCTACACATATGCCATTCTATACATATGTCATTCTAAACATATGCCCTTCTACACATGTACACTTCTCCCTTTTCGCGGTGGACCGCCTCCCCTCAGAAGTCGCTGTTGAGGCAAAACACCTGGTCCTTTCTCTGTGCCATGACTCCCGATTTCTGATAATCGGCCACCCGCTTCTCGAAAAAGTTGGTCTTCCCCTGCAGAGATATGAGATCCATCCAGTTGAAGGGATTCTTTGCGTGGAAGATTTTTGGCGATCCCAGGCATTCCAGCAGCCTGTCCGCCACGAATTCAATGTACTGCGACATTAGTCTTGAGTTCATTCCAATCAGATCACAAGGCAATGATTCGCAAATAAAAGACCGCTCCACCTCTACGGCCTCTTTGACAATATTTTGGACCACCTCCTCCGGCAGCTTATTTTCCAGGAGGCTATAAATCAGGCAGTTAAAATCGGTGTGCAGCCCTTCATCTCGACTAATTAGCTCATTACTGAACGTGAGTCCATGCAATTTGTTCTGCTTCTTAAACCAAAAGATGGCACAGAAACTTCCACTAAATAGGATACCCTCCACACACGCATTGGCTACTATCCTTTCCGCAAACGAGTTTGTATCGTTTATCCACTTGGCTGCCCACAACGCTTTATTCTTCACAGCGGGGATGTTCTCTATGGCGTGAAACAGATTCATCCTCTCCTTCTCGTCCTTTATGTAATTGTCAATCAACAAGCTATACGTCTCCGAGTGGATATTCTCAACAGCTATCTGGAAGGAGTAAAACTTCTTAGCCTCCGTAATTTGCACTTGGCGTAAAAATTTGCTGGCTAGATTTTCCAACACAATTCCATCACTGGCTGCAAAGAAGGCCAATACATGTTTTATGAAATGTTTTTCATTTTCATTTAACTTTTCGAAATCTTTTAAATCGCTAGACAAGTCAATTTCCTCAGCTGTCCAGAAGGATGCCTCCGCTTTTTTGTAGAAATCCCAAACGTCTGGGTACAGAATGGGGTACAGTGTGAATCGGTCTGTCTCTTTGCTCAGGATCTTCTCATTGGCCTCTTTGCTTTTCTGCAAATCGCTAAATTCTCTTTCCTTTTTTGAAAAAATCGGGATTTTCGAAATGTTCAGCACGTCCGCCATTTGGAGAGATTTGACCCAGGGGGGGGGGGGGGGGGGGAAGAAAAAAAGAAAAAAAAAAAAAAAAAGAAAAGCGGTACACCCAAAGAGAGTCACACTCAATGGGGGGAGGTTACCCTAACACACACCCTATGCAAACAGACGACCGCGCGAGTGGATCATCAAATTGCCAAGCGAGCAAAGGGAAGTGGGCCAACAACAGAAGGTATACACAAGCGCAAGCAGAGGGGATTGGAAATAGAAAAAAAAAATTGTAATAAAAAAATTACAGTAAAAAAAAATGGGCACACTTATCATAAGCTTGCTACAAAGGCACTCTTCTTTTTTTTTTTCTTTTTGCACAGGGATGCTTCACGCGACGTCCAAGTGGGAAAGTTAGAGTATGAGAGAGTGACAGAGGGAGAAAATACAAAAGTACGGAGGGAAAAAAAAACAAAATAATGTTTATCACCGGGGAAAATATTGCGAAAAATAAAACCAAACAACGAACGCCCGAATGGACGACGAACGGATGAAGGCAGGCCGCGCCAAGGGGCAATCCATGGATCGATAAGCAAAGGACGCAAGAGGAAAGAATCCTCGGGAACATATCCTAACAGGATAGGAAACTCCAAAGCACGTAATAAATGCAGGAACTGACGAATTTTTTTTTTCTTTCCCTTCGCTGCAAAGTGTTCGCGGGAGGGCTTCTCCCCTTTGCGCCATGTGTACGGTTTGAAGGACGCCAGATGTGCACATTCGGCATCGTGCAAAATTGTGTGCATGCTGGCATCCTAGTTTAATTGGGGGCCTCCGAGTGGCTCCCCTGCTAATGTACCTACTGCTTGCCTATCTACACACGTCTGCAGCGCGGAAAATAAGAAATAAAAAAAAGGAAAATAATGCAATGCCAAGTAATGCGAAAAAATGCAAAATGAAGCAAAATCGAACCAAATAAAATGCGCCTTATGGCTTGCGCGTACATCGCCCTGGAAAAGGGAAAACATATGCATATTTATCTCCGAAACGCGAATTTCTTTGCCTACCCAATTGCTTCCATTCCTTTCGACCGTTATGTGTATCCCCAATTCAGTGACACAAAGACTCATCTCAGGGGAAGGGTCATAAAGTCTCCAATACACACGACGCTTTCCCCACCTTGCATAGAGCCATTTTGTTCCCACATAACAGTCATTTCATGAGACATGCAACGGGCATATTTGCTACTGAACTGACGGAGCGCGCTTCACTTCCACCACATTTACCTAACAATCGCAGAATTGACTACATCTCCTCTGCTACATTCTCCCGTCACACTTCGCCATGTGCTACTCCCCCCCACAGACACACCCTCTACGTCAATTTAAAAAAAAAAAAGAAAATGCTTCTTCCAAATTGTCCACTTTAACGTTCACTTGGATGTCCTAAATTCTGTCCATCTCTGCATTACATTTTATGTTCCATTTTCTACCCGTGGGAGATCCTCTCAGTGTGGGCTAAGGTGACGAAAAAACGCAGAAAGGAAACCCCACGCCGGCGTAGTCACTGCGGCGATGCAGAACGGTTATACAATGTTGCCTCTCACACACAGGGGTAGACACAAAAGGATGGTCTTCTTTCACCTCGCACAAAGGTATGCTTAGATAAATGCATACCCACAGGGACGCATTGCTTGACAAGGCATCGCCCCCCCTATGGCACAATTTTACTTTTAACATCGGGGCGCAACTGTCGCGTAAGGCGCCCTTCCCTCCCGTTATACACACAAAAAGGCTTAATCAATCCCCCCCCATGTGATGGAAAAAACAGGAGTAATGTAAAGCGCACCACTACGCTGCGAGGTAGTTACCGCCTTGCAGGTGAGACGCTCCACCAAAGTTCAGCCCACTCAACTCAAACTGTAATTGAAGTAAAAACTAAGGCGAACCCATATGGTCCCAAGGGAACCAAATTAAAAGGAAAAATGAGGAGTTCATAATTTCCACAGCGCAATGATAAGTAATGCACAACATGCAAATGTGATGTTCACTAAAAAAAAAAAAATTAAATAAATATAAAAGTAATGTCCTGGGATGGCTATGTACATAACGCATGAGAAAATTGCGTACCCATCCACATGCGGCTGCAAATCAAATCAGCGTCACCACTGCAGACAAAGAGGCAACTGCGCTGTCAAGCACAAAAGGACTACGCGCAGGCATCAATGCATATGCCATAAAGCATTTTAAAAATTAGGATTCATAAAATGGCATCGTAAGGAAGAAACCAAATTATGCAAAATGGAATAATTGCGCAAATTTCGAAATTCGACAAAAAAAAAGAACAGAAGAAATAAAAATGTATGGGGGAAAAACTTCCAATTGCTTTAGACGAAACCGAAACGCTGTTGCATGTGATATACAGAACCGTTAACGGACGAATAACCTATACGCGCGTAAAAATGAAGAGGCGGCCCGCTGGATCGCCCCATCATATGTCTTACCTCCCTTCGCTTCCCCCCTCTTTCGTACATCTATGCATACGCCGTCTTTCCGCACAACTGCCCACCGAACTGCACCTCACCGATTCAGATCTTCCCAATGCACTTCCTGCACAGGGGGCAATCGTTGTTCCTCTTCAGCCACGTAAAAATACACTCCTTGTGATAGTAATGCAGGTAGTTACAAGGCAAAATACAAATATCATCGTCATTTAGATACTCCACGCAGCAGATGGAACAGACATAATCGGAGCTCTCAATATTTATATGAAAGGAATTTTCCTCCAAGTTATTTTCAGGTACTTCTAAATTGTCATTTTCCAGGGCATTTTTTTTTTTCTTCAAAACTTTCTGGAAGTAGTCAAATAAGGGTGCTGGCTTGCCGTCTTTATTTGGCTCGCCTGTCACCTCGTGGCTGCCTCTAACCTCGCGGTTATTATCGTAACTTCTAGGAGGATATTGATTGGCGTCATCCCTGGCATTCTGGTTAGGGCTCCCCAGGTCGTCGCCTTCCCCCCTGTCGTTAGCTTGTCTACCCCCGCGATTGGAGGAACCGCCTCCTCTACCAGTAGCTCCTACAGCGCGATCATAGAAAAGGTGCCGCTCGAGGTTACTCCTCATGCTGCTGTTGCCGCTGCGGGTTGGCCGGTCATTCGCGCTACTGCTAGGGGGACCGCCTCCACTTCCCCCTCCGATTCCCCGCACGCAGGACGTCGCCGTCGAGATTGTGTTCCCTTCCGCATTGCAGTTTGACGTGGGCTCAACCGACGCAAAGTCCTCCCCCTTGTTATCGACACCACTGGGGGCAGCAATCTCTGTGCCTCCCTCCACCCCGGTGGTAGTCATTACCCCCCTCGTATCTGTCACACCCTCCCCGTTTAGCTCCCTCCAGTTGGTAAAATAGGCGCTACGAAAGCAAGCCTCCTCCTCACAGTACTTCCTATACTCCACATATTTCATAATTTTCAATTTCTTCAAAATCTTCTTCGGTGTGGGACTCTTCCTCTTAATAAAGATTAAAATCAAAATGACAACTATGAACAGAATCCTCAAAATTATATATAAAAATATCGGCATAAAATAATATATGACCACTAAAAGGATGGCAAAGGAGAAAGTAGAACTTATGGGGTAATTTGTGCCTTCAAAAAAGTAGATATAGGCACACATGGAAAAGTACACCAAGGTGATGACATGAATTTTGGCTTCTACCGATTTTAACATCTTTGAAACTTCTGCTTGTCTCAGTAACATTAATGACATGTACAAATTTAGAAAAAGATGTAACCCTAGCATGCTGAGCAGCAATCCACAGAAATAAGTCATTACCCTCTCCTTCTGCGAAACAGAAGATGGCTTCATAAAATCGTGGCATAAAATCCCCATCAGTAATATCACCATTAATAACAATGTCCCATGAATAAATATTGAACAAATCTGAAAATTTCGATACGCTCTTCGGGATAAATTCATGTCTTCTTCTAGCATAAAGCTGCTCGTACTATCTGCGTTCTCTTCCGGTCGGTCATCCGCTGAGAAATTCCCTTCATCAAGCGGTGTGTCATCCGAGACATTTAACGGCCCACTGTCATTTGGAGGTTCACCATTGGTGGTCGGTACAACATTGGGAGTTTCCCCCTCATCATCATTCTTCTTCACGTGGGTGCTGCTATGCCCCTCTCCACATGCGTTACCATCTGGGTCGTTCTCTACATACGTGTCGCTGCTACCAATTTGGGCGTTGGGCTTTGTCTCCACATCGACTCCACCTTTAACATTTTTTACCTTATTGAGGACACTTCCAAGTTGCGCCTCTTTCTCACTGTCCGCCTCTTTTTGGAGATTTTCCTCCCCTGGACAGTTGACAGTTCCTCCGTCAATCTGAGCTGCCCCATCACTGCAGCCGACACACAAGACGGTACTTCCCAACTTGTTTTCCCCAAAAGGAGAGCAATTTCCCACCTCTACAGAATCCTCATCATTTGCCGCATCTTTCATTTTCTCCATTCCATGGGGCATAGTCTCACCATCTGTGGGGGACACATTTTTGTCATTTTCAACTGCGCCGATGCCTTCTTCCTTCCTTTCTCGTTCTGCTATGCTGACCTCATTTCCTGTACGTTCGCTAATGCTCATTATATGTAGGACGTACAGAGCGCGACGAAAGGACTAAGCTGCTGCTTTCAATTTGGCTGAGGCTTCGGCCCTTCCACGTTTATCCCCCCCTGTTCAGTAGCACGTAAAGATGTACATATGTACATATATTCATATGTAAATATATATATATATGTATGTATGTATTTTTTTTTTTTTTTAATTTTGGCTAGCTGACTTCGCCTCCGGGTTTGGGGAGGGACAATTACTCTTCGAAAAAAACAAACGAATGCGCGGATTTCTCAAAATGACGAAGATTCTCAAATTCCCAAAATTGTTAAAATTATCAAAATATTCAACAATTTGAATATCCTCAAAAAATAACAAAAAAAAAAAAGAAAAAAAGTAACCATAAATTATAAATTACAGCTGCGGAGTTCATTGTATATTCATCATACCTATGCAAAGTGGATGGAACTTCAAAACGGCGTTGCTTCGGGGGGGGCAAATAAACGCTGATCTGTTTTTGGCAAGCTCACTTGTTCCTTTTGTTCTTTTTTTTCTTACACTTTAACGTTGCTTTATCACTGTAGTGTCACTGCGTCCGTATTACCACGTTGAGTGCTATGCCGAATGAGTGGGATGTATCCTCTCAGTATATAACTACTACACTGTTTAAGTGTGCTATTTTTATAAATTCTTCCACTACTATGTTTGCGCCTGTTTCGTATCACGCTGTTTTGCAGGCCCCTTGTTAGCTTCTCCACCAAAGGTATGACAGACAATTAGCGGGAAGACTCCAATTGGGTTACTGCTGAGGAAGCGCAGCACGTCGTGCTCTCTTGTAGTGTCCGCGTCCTGTATCGTTATGCGCACAAAACAAACAAACACTTGGGGGAGGGAGCACTATGCAGTGGACATAAGTATGAAATATGAATATCGTTGTACTCTATGGAAGGATAAAAAAAAAATATGTTTCTAAAATGGGGGCAGCAAAAGCACTGCACATAAGGCGGTGATCATATTTTCTTTTAAAAAATATCATTTCATCAATTAATTCTTCCGAATTTGCGGGAGAACTGGAAAATTATTATAAAAGTCAATGGGCGGCGAAAACATTTCCCTGTTATGGCGAGGGGGAAAATATAGTAAAGGTAAGAAAAAAAAAGGAATAAATATGGCAAAAAAGGAAAGAAAAAAAATACAGCAGAAAATAAAGCAAAAGATGCAGCCAAAAATGAAGCGAAAAATACAGCAGAAAATACAGCTAAAAACACCGCACAAAACACCGCACAAAACACCGCACAAAACACCGCACAAAACACCGCACAAAACACCGCAAAAAACACAGCAAATTCGTGATGCAAAAATTTAAGTACGGGCATATTTCACATGTGTAATGTTCGCATATCGCGCATCAAAACTTTTGCACAACTCGTATCACATTTTTTGCGTCACGCGGGAGTGTGTCAAAAAACAAACGAAAGGACGTTAAAAAGGGGTCTTTCGTGGAAAACGCGAAAACATCCAGTGATCATTTCCCCTTTTACAGACAAAAAAAGTGTCCTCGTTTTGTCCTATTGAGAAAGGCGAATATATGTACACGGGAAAATTAGTAAGATATATATACGAAGGTTTCTTTATGGCAGTTCCCTCAAGTTATGAGCTCCCTCCGTGAAATGCTTTGTTTTTCCCGTTTATCGTTCATTTGGTTACAAATTCCCCCGTTTGTGAGCTGATTCATTCGTTTAAGCCTTCGGTTGCCCGCTCGCTCACCCTTTTATTTGTATTTTTTTTTTTTTTTTTTTTTCCTGGGGGAGTGAGGTACGCCCTGTAAAGGACCCTATGCAGACAATGTTTTTAAGCAGCAAGATGAACTTCGTATACACTCATCATGAAGTACACAGAACTTGTTCAAAAGAGTCAAGTAAAAGTAAAACCAAAAATGACCGTTTTCTTTATTTTATCTATATTTAACATTCCATTGGACTGAGCGTTTCACAGGCATGCTCCATGCTCCTTTTGCGAAAGCTCGCTCGTTTTTTGCTCTTTTCTCAATTCTCACAACATTCAAATTCCGGCAAAGGAATGTTCGAAGAAGGCTACCCCGTCGTGGGTACATTTAAATGGCGCTCAATGCGCAGATAAATAACACTCACACCCATTTTGTACGTACAACTTTACGCTTACAGAAAAAAGCATTTTCTACATTTCGAAATTAAAAATGTCTGCAAAATTTACCTCAACAGTCAGGCGAAAAAGCTAAAAAAATTTTTTTTTTTTATTCCATACTGTTCAGGTAAAAGGAAAAAGAAAAAATTGGCAAACGATTTTCTAAATTTGCGTTGTTCATACAGCCTCCTTCCAGTGGGAAGTTTCTCCCCTTTTGGCCCATTTGCACATATGCCTCCCTTCTATGCGTAACACTTGTGGGCAGTGGCTTGGCTTCGAAAATTCGCTGGCCGGCTGTACCACTCCCCCTGTCTCGCTAGGCATCGATACTGATTCGCTAAATGTTTAACGAAAACGTTTTCATATGACGGTGGTGAGGTTCCCAATTTGGTGGAAACTAAAAAAAATTCAAATGTACACTCGTGGACGTGAAAAAAATAGATACGTAAGACGCATTTCGCTTCACACACAATGACACATATGTGTGCTATGTGTACAGGACGGAAAAATTCCCTTCCGTGTGAGCGAACAGCCATGGGCTCCTGCTTGACCACGTGATGTCGCTAATCTTTGACTCACTCGACAGCTGCGTAATCGGCAGCAAAACAGGGTTAGTCACATAGTCTTGAAAAAACTTCGCATAAAACAAGTTCACTACTCCATTTGAACTTAAAGAGTAGAACAAATTGTACTTTTTGTGAAACTCCACCTTCTTCAAGGGACACTCCTGGAGGTGAAATTTCTTGTACGGGTTGCACGACAGGTCCAAGTCAAAAATGAACACGTTCCCCTTCTCTTCCGAGGATAAGATGTAACTTTCGTTAATGTGTACATCCACACATGTTATATTTTGAATGCCTCTCAATTTTTTTACGATTCTCTCTTTCTTCGACTTGGCTTTCAGGTTATATATCCTGCAAGGGGAGACGGGAAAAAAAAAAAAAAAGGGTGACCATATATGCAAATGGGTCCGTATACATTACAAGCTCAATCCTCGCGAAGCCGCTCTCAGCTCACGCATGATGTATTTCCTGTCTTACGTGATCCCGTTTTGAAATGCCACCAAGAAATAAGGACTAGAGGGAAAAAACATCGACTGAACAAGGTCCCCCCTCTTCTGATTGTACTTTTTTATCAGTTTGATTGACTTCATTGATTTTAAATGATGCAAATAGCAGTAGTGGTATTGTCCAACTTTTCGTAAGCACGTTACAGAGAGGTAATTTCCTAAAGGGGGGAAACGGAGTAGAATTAAAGGAATACGCTTCGACCTGCACAATAGGAGAGGGGAGGAGGGACGAAACAACATTCCCCTTCTTCTGCTTCCTTCATTCTCTATGCATTGTATTGCTTGTTGTATAGCTATTCACTCCTCCGGGCGTACCATTTTTGTTCCACGAGAAGTTCCTTATTTTCCCCTCATGCTGGATTGCGACGCAGTACTTTATCTTCTGCGGTTGGGCAGGAAAAGGAAAAAGTAAATGAATGAAAAAAAATAAAAAAAATGAAAAAAGAAAATAATAAAAATAAAAACAAAGGAAAACGAAAATCGGCGAAGCCGCGCTAAAGCCACGAACCATCGCGCTGCTACCCCTTGACGACGAACGTGCCAACCAAGTAGCCGCTTTGCACCTACCCGGTCATTCGGTTTTATATACTTCCACTTCACGTCCACATCGGGAGAGTACACGTATTCCTCCGAACTTTTAAAATTTTTGTGAAACACGCTGAGTAGACCTTTCGTCTTATAATAAGCCACGGTACTGCTCAACGGTTCGCATTTCCTTCTCGAGGGCGTCTCCTCCTCGTCTTCCTCATTTTTTCCTAATTGGTCATCCCTGTGGTCATCATCGTTGTCTTCATCATTGTCCTCATCGTCACTCACATCCTCGCTATCCTCATCATCACCACCATCAAGAGAACCCTCCAAATCGTCATCATCCGACAAATGTGCGGCGTCCCCCTCACTGTCACGCTCTTCCGACGGGGTGTCGTCACTTCTGCTGTTTTCCTCACCGTCCCCAACGGAGTTCTTCCTTCGTTTGGAGTCAGTGCGGTATACTTCCTCGATATTGTCCGCGCATGACTTGGCCGGCGGAATGAAGTTCTCATAGTGAAAAAGCAGAATCGTATTGACGAAGGACACCGCCACGATGTCGTACGCCTTATTGGCCCGTATGCGGATATTATCAAAAGTGGTTCCTCTGCTTTGATCTGCGCTTCTGTCTGCACCTTTTTCCGCGCCTTTTCCCCTGGGAAGTGCCGCTCCATAGTAGTGCGCCAGGTCTATCACGGCAATATTGTATGACGTCAGGACGTCGAAGATGTAGAGCTTGCCGCACTGCACTACGTACACGACGTGGCGATCTTCGTTTATGTCTATCTGGCCCAGGTACTTATTTCTGTCGCCACTGACGGGGTCATCCATGATATACTTCACAAATGGATGATGCGGATAGGGCTTCAGCGACTGGGTGGAAGGCAACTTGGGGAGTAAATCTTCCTTCTTGATATGAAGTACATTTTTTAATGACCTCGAGCAGAGGTATATATCTAAACATCTTTGATATAATTCGAAATAGGTTTTTTTATAAAATTCGATATTTCTGATTTTTTCAAAATTCTGAGGAATGAAAGCATCATTATTTTGTTTTAAAATCTTTCTTCTCTCCGCTGAATTGTACATTAACTCAGGGGGAGGATTGTAACTGTATTTATGTCCTGGCAAGATATTTGGCAAATTCATTTCATTCACATTGTTAAAATCGTCGTAAATTTTATTCCTCCACAGATCGTACAGCAGCTTATATTGGTCTTCTTCTTTTTTATATTTCTCTGGATTTTTTTCCTTATCCATTAAATGGTTTATTATTTGTTGTATTTTTTTTTTCTCCTCTGCTGACTGTTTGTACTTGCGGTTATCTGGCTCCTTCATTCCCATTTTGTATTCCTCCTTCTCATTTTCGTACACGTAATTTTCCTCGTTCATATATTTCGCCACTTTGTTTTGACGAATACTTCGGATTATTTCGAGATCCTGGTTCGTGAGCTCCACAATTCGGTTGTTTTTTTTATCTTTTATTTTCCTCCATGCGTCTTTGTCCGTCTTGGACTCGATGAAATCGTCGATGGCGTTTTCGTCCTTCTTCTCGATTTTGTTCCCCCAAATGTCGTAGCCTGCGGTCAGAAGGGCGGGGGGTCCCAAACCGGGGTCAGCAAATATGTGAATCGGCCAATACGTGCGTCAGCAAATATGTCCGTTGACATGTAGCTCCACAGAACTACACACGTGCATCCTCACCATAGAGGTGTAGAAAAATAAACATGTGCACGGGAAGGGCCAAAAAAATAAAATAAAAATAAATAAATAAATGACGGATCACACGAATGTCCCCTCCAAGCTGGAAGTGAAAACATGTGATGATGCAAGAGAGGGAATCATCGGCTCATCAGCCCACCGCCCCATCGACCAATTCGCGCCTTACCCAGAATGTCCAAATCTTCGTAATGCTTGAGGTCGAAATTCCCCAGCGTATTCAAGTTGTACTCATCGTCACTCTCATCAATCTCCTCGTTTGCAAAAGTGCTCTTCCCCCTTCTTCTCTTGTCACTCCTCACACTGGAATTGAAGACGTCACTCCCAGTGGTGTTCTCATAGTCCGTCCCCTTTTTGGTGTTTTTCCGTCCCCGTGGTTTTGGTTTATTTGTTCGTTCTTCGTTCCCTTCCTTTTTGGGGTTTCCTTCCATGTGGCTCTTCTTTTTTGCTGCTCGACGGTCTGACTTTTCCAGTCCCTTCTGTGGGGTAATTATCCCGTCCGTTCCGTTTTCCCTTTTCCTTTCCGATTTATTCTTCCCCTTTCTTTTCTGTTTCATCCCCGCTTTGGTTCCAGCTTCGACGGGTTCTTCCGTCCCCCCGTTCTTCTTCATCTTCTTCTTCTTTTTCTTCCTCATTTTGGCCGCTTCCCCCCTCGTGTCTCTTCCCTTATCTGCTGGACCCTCTGGCTCCTCATCGGGCATCCCTCCTTGTTCAGTTTCCGTCTTACTATCACCACTGCGGTTGGGGCTGCTCAGCACTTCCCCTTGTTGATCCTTCCCTTCACCACCGTGACTCTCTGCGGAGGTGCTACCCGTGAGGTACTCCTTCTCTTCACTCATCTCCGGCGAGGCTGCGAAAAAGGGGGCCCAAATTAACCCTATCGCCGTATCGATATGTGCCTCCCGCAGGTGCCCTCAAAACAGTGTAGAAGGGGCGAACAGATTAAAAAAAAGAAAAAAAAGAAAAAAGAAAACTTTTCCTTCGTTCTCCTCGTTGGTTAAAATCCCCCCTCCACAGGCGATTATCGACAAACTCAAATGAAAAAATGACACTTTTAAAATTTTTCTATGCAATCAATTGGGGTATGTATTTCCAACAAGGGAAAACCATCATTCGGTCGCCTTGCCTCGGCGAACAGTTTGTTTTTCCAAACGGAGTCAGACCCTTCAGTGTGGTAAAGGGGAAAATTTACAAACGAGAGGATGACCTCGCAGGAAAAAAGCATCTTCACGCTCGTCCATGCGATGCTATACTTTACATGGTTGCATAAAACGCTTGGACGAATTTTTCTCTTATCGCAGAATTGACCGCGTTCATGTAAACAGATATGTAAGCCTCAATCACAATGCGGCTATGGGAAAGTCAAACCAACTCAAAACGGAACGAGTTAAATCGTTAATGTGGCATAACGGAATGACGATGTCGCAAAATGGAGCGAAGTAACGACGCGCAAATGTTGCCCTTCTCCGTATGGTGCTACTAAAAACGGCCAAGTCGGAAATTTGTTTTATTTTTTTCTTTTTTTGGCAATTTTTCTCCTCCTATAAAAACCGTGGGGAGGTCTCTCACAAAAACTTCAAATGAGCGACGCGAAGCAGTTGTACAAAAAATCGGGTACTACCTATACCGACATTTCGCAAATGAACATACAGCCCGCTGAGGAAATATTATTGTCAAGGGCTGCAGAAAAAAAGACTCAAACAGAATAGAATTAAAAAAAAAATGGAAACTCAATTTCTCCGCCCAGCTAGAAAAGGATTTCTCCCAAACATAAAAATATTATTATCCGTTTGAGGAGAAATTCTTTCCCCTTGGAAATTGGTTTTCCCACCCACGCACAGTCATTTATTAGTCAGCAGCCATTTATTAGTTAGCAGCGATAATGTAAATGATACCTCTGCATTTTTCCAAATTTACAATCTTGTAACTTTGGGGGGGTTCCCTTTTTCTGTTCCATATTGAAGGGGAAAGAAGAAGGAGACCCATCGAAGCGGAGGAGAAGCCGACTACACTGCGCATCGAAGCCGACTTGACGCCGCCACCCCTCCCGTGTGATGCCCAAAATGCAGTGACCCAAATGGCGCAGCGAAGTGACAAGAAGAACACCCCAATCGACAGGCACAAAGTGTTCGTCCGAAACATCCGAGAAAATGATGTAGCCCCCCTGGAGGAAAAGTTTAAAAAAATTTGCACCAAATATTTCTTCTTTAAAAATAAAAACAACACCACGAAAAGTGCCATCTGTTCCTTCAAAACAGATCAGGAGGCAGCAGATTTTATCCAAAAGTACCACGACAAGAAAATACAAACCAGCAACATAAAATGTGAATTTGCCTTCAGGAAAAAGTACAACGATAAAAAATTAATCTCCATCACATACAGACGACATAAAATTAACCACTTCAACTCAATCCAATTGTACACCAACTGTGATGTCGACACTATAGTCGTCTTGAGCTACTTGAAAAATCTCTTCCTCCTGAACAGACGCCTGTTGGTAAAAAGCTTAGATGAAAATGATCAGCGGATTGATAGGGACGAAGATCATTCAGAGGAGGCCACACAAGACAGTGATGGTAATGGGGACGGTGACGGAGATGGCGATGGGGATAAGTCTAACCAACCCAATCATAGGGACGACGTCCAAGTCGTTGTCGAAAAAAAACTTAAAGAGTTTGAAGAAATTGTCCTAAATATTGAAAAAACAAACAGAAATTTAGATAACAGAACGAGGCAAAAATTAATCGCAAAAATGTCCAATAAAAATAAAGCGCTAAGTAAAAATTGCTTCGTCTACACGGTTGAATTTGTAAATTTAAAATTGGCTGCCCAGTTCTACACATATATTAACAGAAACAATTTTTTAAATTACCTGGAAGATAACGGTAAAAATGGTGGAAAAAAAGATGTCCTTTTTTTTCACGAGCTGTGCTACTTCAGCAAAAACAACAGGAGAGTCATCGTAAAAAATATTAAGCGGACGTGCCATGTGGAAAATTTACAAAAGCTATTCAGACATATAGAAAAGGATCCATCAATTTATATTCCAAAGAAGAATAATAAAAAACAGGGCTACGCCTTGGTTACCTTCTCCAGCTACCAAAAAGTGAAGAAGGCTCTTCTGTTGAACAAATCCAGGATGTGTGGAAGCACCATCACCGTAGAGGAGGACAGGAATCCGCAGCTCCTCAAACTGCTTGGTGTGCAGGAGACCAACGCTCGGGAGGGAAGCCACCAAGGAGGAGACAACAGAGGGAAAGACAAAGGGGCAGACAAACAGGTCGATGAAGACAGAAGCGACGGCGGGACAGACGATGGGGAGGGAAGCTACGATGGGACAGACGATGGAGAGGGAAGCAACGATGGGACAGACGATGGAGAGGGAAGCAACGATGGGACAGACGATGGGGAGGGAAGCAACGATGGGACAGACGATGGGGAGGGAAGCAACGATGGGACGGACGATGGAGAAAGAAACGGCAAGCCAACCCACCACTTCACGAGCGACGTCGAGGAAGGGAAGACGCTGTTCATCACGAACATTCCGATGGGGACTAACGACGAAGAAGTTCAGAACTACGTCGCCAAGAACATCAGCAAAAATTACATCTACATAAGGACATGCAGGAACAGCGGGAAAAAAATTTTCGCCTTTGTGAAGCTGATGCACAAAGAGGATGCAGACACATTTTTGAAAAAAATTGGGGAGTACGACGAGGAGAAGGAGGACGACGAAGAAGAAGATGAAATCCAAATCGAAGAAAAAAACGAAAACGTAATTGACAAATTTTACAAGATGAAGAAGAAAAAAAAGGAAAGAATGAAACAGATTCTGCTTAAAGATCATAACAGTGGAAAAAATGCCGAAATTTTATTTTTCAAAAATAATTATTTAATGATCAAGAGGGCGGTCAGTAAGGACTTCATAAAGGATAAAAAGAAAATTCCTATGCAGGAAGAAAAAACAAAAAAACAGAAAAACAGACTGCACAATAACATCCACCTGGTAGAGGACAATAACATAAACAATGATCACCTGGGAGAAAACATAATCAAAAGAAACAACGATTTGATGGGAAAAAAAAAGGAGCTCTTAAAAAATAAAAACTTCCTGATAAACCCGTGCAGAATATACGTTCGCAACTATCCAGCCTCTTTGGAACAAAATTTATTCAGGCAATTGATAACGAAATATTTCACCCCCCTATTTATGGAAAAGCACAATTTAAAAAAAAAAGAAGCGTTCCAGAGAGCCAATGAAATTATTAAGAAAATGAAAATTATGAAAGATCACACAGAGAAGAAAGAACCAATGCAAAATGAGGAAAAAAATAAAAAATTAAAAGATAAAAAGAAGAGTAGCAACAAAAATGGACAAAATTTGATATGCTTTATCGACATTAACAAACATGAACATGCCAAGCAGATAATTCACTTGCTCCAAAATAGGAATATTTACCAACTGCTTAACGAAATAATCTACAAAAAAAAGTTTCACATCATTCGCAAAAATAAAAACATCATGTATGTCGATTACTGCATTGAAGACATACGGATGGTGCATATCAAAAAATTAAAAGAAGAAAAATTTTTAAGTCACATAAGGCAAAAAAATGGAGCGGCAACGGACTCGTTGACCAAAAAGACTATTAAGAAAAAGAAAAAAAAAGAAAGCAGGGGAAAAAGGCAACGGGAAAAAAGACGCCTTCTAAAAATGCAAAACGAAAATACAAACATCGCTCATGTGATTAGAAGCACATCGTCAATCCATGTGCAACAGTCGAATGGGGCAACTGGGCAGGAAAAAAAAAACGCCCAAACGAATGGCGCACAAAAAATCGGCGCAACGAAGAAAAAGTCAAAGTTGAAGGAAAAGCACCCCAACCAGGGTGCCCATTCCAACGAGGCGAGCAAAAAAAAGAAAGGCGCCTTCCAATCCGGGGAAAAAAAAGAAAATACAAAAAAAAAGACGAGCAAGAAGTTAATCAAAAAGGCCGCGAAAAAATCTGCAACCAAAAAGGATAAAGAAATTGTAACCAAATGAGAAAGAAAAAAAAAGAGGAAAAAAAAAACACGTGATACCTCTCACGCGCATAGGCCTACACTCTACTGTGTAGCCAACCTGTACGTGACCTCATGCACCATTGCGTGTGCACACACGGTTGCCAACTTTCACCCCATTCACGTGCCGCACCCCACCCCCTCTGCAGGAATCGATACAAAAGGACGTTTTGAATTTTCTCAAAAAAAACAAAAAGTAGAAATATTGGACGTGGATTCCACCCCTATTTTTCCGCAGCCGTGTCGTTGATTCGGCGCGAGTTTGTTTTCCCCCATTTTAGGAAGTGCAAAAATCTTCGCGTAATTAGGGCCCCCCCTACCTGTAAACATAGGTGAGGAAATGAATTTGTTCCACGCGTGCATGCTTGCCTTTGCCTTTTGTATTTTTTTCTCGTTTTTATTTCTTTTTTTCCCCTTTTTTCGCGTCGTTTTCGACGATTTGTTTTATTACACTTTTCAAAATGTGCCTTCTGTACCTCTTCAATGTCTTCTTCAAATAGGTCATTTTTTTTTCTTCCCTGAACTGATTTATGTTCAACTTCACATTCTGAATTGTGCATAAAGAAAAAAAACAGTCATAATTTGCAATGCTTTTTTTTTTCCAAAACGGATGGATAGTGCTGACTAGCCAATAAAAAAAGGCGACAAATTCGCCTGAACAGGTCAGCAAAATGGGGAGTTACACGAAAATATGGAGCTAGCCATTTTGATTTTTTCTTTTTTTTCTTTTCTAAGAAGTGCAAGGCCCTCTACCCCACCGCGCCCAAAGGGGCAAGTATTACAGTGCCATACCATTTCGTGCGAGCCTTGTATATTTGCTTTAATCAAAAGGGGGGATACTTCCAAAAGGTGCACATAGAAGTAGCTTGAGTACTTCTTGTCCCTCTTGTTCTCACGCTTTCCCTTTTCCGACTTTTTTCTTTCCTTCCGTTTCTTTGCCAAAAAATGCTTCAGCAGGGAAAAGTTCTGCATGGTGCTCCTGTCGATGGGCAAGTTCACGTCGCACAGATTTATCCTTAATTTTTGGACAACCTGCGTTTCGGGGGAAAAGGGGCGCCACAAAACCGGTGGCCCTTTATTCCATACGTTCCAATCTTGAAAAAGAAAAATTCTAAAAAACTTCAGCCGCAGGGAGAGAACATTTGATAAGTTATTCGCCTCCTTTTTTCCATTTATCAGGAAGGTGAAAATTTTCCTACCGTTCATCCAGTTGTGGGCTTTTCCCTCTCTGCGATTTGCCCCTTTTTCATAATACACATTAATGCTTGAAAAAAGAGAAAACAATTCGTACAAACAATTTAAATAAAAATAAATGCGCAGGAGGAATACCCCCTCCAAGGAAACACTTCTCTCTGGTGATTGTAACATGTCCGGAAAGTTCCACACGAAATGGTGCATGCCGAGGGATGCTGCAAAAAATGGAAATTTTCTCCAAGTTGAAAGATGACGAAATGGTCTCTATTTTTCTATTCCTCGTTAAGTACACATTTGACAGAACAACTTCGATGGCTGCCGTTATAAAGTTTTCACTCCTCCGTTGCGTCCTGGCACACCATCTGTTGTGCCTCTTTGGCTATCCCGCTTCTCAATCCCCGTGGTCTCGTTTTGATGAGCACATCGTTGCTTCCCACTCTGTTGCATACATTTTTGCACGAGTAAATGCAACCTTTCTATGTGAACATCTATTAAGCTCAACATGGAGAGAAATAACTTGGCCACACACAAGAGAAGTTTCTTCCCTCTATTAGTAGCATCGGCACTACTTTTCTTCCCTTTCTTGAAGGGGTCCTAAAAAAAACGACCTCTCTTTCATTCCCTTCTTTTTTTGCATTTTCACATGAACCGTGCAGGAAAAAATTTCCTACTTGGCACCGGATGTACCATTTTGCAAAAACAAATTTTACGTCGTTCAAATGTACGCGTAGCGCTTTTTTTTTATATTTTATATCCACGAAGATTTCACTAATGCTAATCTTTTTTGTACTTATAGATAGGGAAAAAAACGACGCAGTTACTCCAAACGAAGGTTGTTGCAAGGGCTTCTTCAATAGCAGGACTATTAATATTAAGAGAGTCGAAACGAGCACAATTGCAGTTGACAGAAAAATTGCTAGCCATCTCATGGATAAATACGGACACGACAAATAGCGGCAAAGCTTAGGTAATGTAAGTGAACGAGACGGCAACTCCCGCGTGGTGATTGTTTCCTTCCGCGTTTTGTGATTAAGCGAGTGTGGTCACGACGAAATTACGCCTCCATTCTGCGCGTCAGTCGAAAGCATGCGTAGAATGTCCATCACACACGTTACGTCCGTTCGTACGTTGATGGGCGGCTGCCTCGATGTTGCACTCTCAACAACTTGGAACTCGCCTAGGGGCAGTGTCATCCATTTGTGTACACGTTAACCCCCAAATGGCGTTGTTTCCACAGGAGTAAACATCCTCCCCGTGTGATGCTTTGAGTCGCAAATGAGACTGAAGAAGCGTGCAAAGTGAAGGTGTTTCACTCGCATAAGAAATACACCTAAAGTAGGACAGTATGCCCCATTCTTGTTTTTCTATTTCATGACTTCCACTTTTTTTTTCTTAACATTTTCAGTTAATGTAAAAGTGCATGAACAGGTCAGAAAAAAAAGAAAAAAAAAAAATGAACGAAGAAGGTGATTTAAATGTTTTTAAAAAGGACGAAGTTCCCGCAAAGTGTAAGAAAGAGAAAAGGGGAGATAATTACACACATGCCCCTAGATCGGTGTTGTTGTTCGATTTACCAGCTTTCATCAATTTGGAATGAGTTCAGTATTCAGAGTTTTCTGTTCCCATGGCTCGGGAAATTAAAGACCATATGTACCTGCAGCACATGTAATGGGAGTATGTATATTTTTTTTTCCGGCAGCCATTGAAGGGTGGATTATCATCATCACGAACATCCACGGAGAAGCAAGGGACGACTACATAAAAGACGTTTTTGAAAAATATGGAGAGATAAAAAATTTGCATTTAAATTTGGACAGACGGACAGGTTTTTTAAAAGGCTATGCATTTCTCGAGTTTGAAAATTTTGTGGATGCCAAGAGAGCCATTGATGGTAAGCACGTTTTTCACAAGAACGCGCGCGACGTGTTCTAATGCTTTATCGGCGCAACTTCCGCATCGGACAACTCTTTTCATCACTGTTCGTAGTGTTACACGTCTGAATTACATCCACGTGTAGTTCTCCTCAACCTGTACTGCAGTCTGGTTACACGTAAACTCCATTTTTTTTTTTTTTTTCTTTTCCAGAAATGGACGGCGCAACGTTGCTCAATCAGGAAATTCACGTGGATTGGGCATTCGTGCAGGAGAAAAATAAGAATTGATTTTTTCCTCGCATCCCCCTAATACGGATATAAATGTGTGAAGTGATTTGCTCCGTGTTGCTTCCCACGCGTATAACACCTTCCCTTCCACACCATTTCCGGAGGGACGCAACGAAATTTTTGTTCGTCTGACGGAAAGCTATAGTGTAGATGGGCAGCATGTGTAAATTTATTCCCATCACCACCTGGGCCTTCTCAGCTTTGTCGCAAGTCGAATAATCGTAATTGTAACCGTTTGCGTGTTCCTGACGGGCCAGAAAGCCATTAAAACCCGATTCGCCCATCCCATAAAACACACTTCTTGGTTAAGCAGGCTCTTCTGAATTTTTCTTTTTTCTTGCAAACCGTTTTGCTACTCGCAAAAGATGTCGTAGCGGCACGATTGCACACGTTAAGAGGGCAGAAGAAACAGAAAAAAAAAAAAAAAAACACTGTAAGGGCAAGCTAATTCACACAATGTGCAACACACACGAGGCACAAATCAAACAGAACCGCGATAGGCACAAAAACAAGGGACAGTTTCGAAGCGGACTTGAAACCGAAGGGGGGGGGGCTACGAAACGGCCTTCTTCTTCAGCAAAGACGAAATGGCGATGGAAAACGCCTCGAAGGAAGACAAGGGGTGTCGAAAATCAAGCGTGAAGTAATCCTTTGAGTTTTTCCCAAAAATTAAAAATATCTCCTCTTCATCGTTGTTCACAATTTCAAATTTTTTTTCATCTTCTTTTTTTTTAAAATTATTTGTGATCACATCAAAGGGGAACTTTTTCCTGAGCACGTGTTTTTTTGCGTCCCCCTCTCCGCTGCAGCTGCCTTCGTAGGGAGAATGCGAGGGGATTCCACACGTTGGAAGTCCCTTTGGAGGGTGACCATCTGTTGATCGTCCGTCACATGTGCTAGCCATTTGGGAGTCCTTTAAAGAGTCACTGCTGACATACTCAATAACATCGTTTATGGTTTTCCCTACAAAGGAACCCTTCCGCGAGTTGGAAATTACACATTTTTTTAAAATTAATTGCAAATTTTTTGCACTTGCTAATTTAACTCTGCCATAAAAAGGCAACTCGTAGATCTCCTTCTCGTCATTCCAAACTGGACATTTATTTTCGTAAATAATTTTAACGTCTTCATTAAGCTTGTGAATAGTGCACATAAAATGTCTGGGAAGTTCACTTATTATATTTGATTCGAAACTTATGGAAATTCTATTTCTCCTTTCAAAGGAAGGGAAAAAATGAGAATATTTTTCCGTTATGCCATTGTCATATATTTTAATTTTCATGCCTGTAAAATTACAAATTAAGACGCCTAAGAAGCCAGAAATGTTGAAAGAGGGGTTGTTTTTTTTTCTCTCTTTGTAACTTCTTTTAATATTCTTATCATACTTATACAGGTATACTTTATTTTCTCCTTTCTTTTTAAATCCCATCAGCATTTTTTCCTTCTGATTGCTTTTTAAAATGTAGCAACAGGAGTAGTAATCGCTAAAATTTCGCAGCCTCTGTATTTCATTGATGACGTATCCCTTTGGAATATCATTATAGTGATGAAATTCTTTTTTCGTTTTTTCGATGAAGGGAGAAAAAATATTCTTGTCGATTAAATTCTTGTTAAAATGTAAGTTCCCTTTTTTCATGTCTACCTCCGTGAGGTTGTTAGCCATGTTGTAGTGATTATTCGATTTGAAAATGTTTAGCGCGGCATAAAACACTCCATCGTAGTAGTGGCAGTGGTAGTTTGCATCGTAGTTCGCATCGTACTTCCCACCGTGGAGGAGATTTGCCCGGGAAACATAGCTCCGCTTCTGTCTATCCATCTCCGTCTCTCCCATCCTCTGTCTCATCACCCTTAAATTATCTTTCATTTCGTTGTATTTCTGCTTCACCTGACTATTCGCCTTATCGTCCACTACGATCCAACACGCTGGCAACTCCTCACTTTCAAAAATAGTGACTAACTTCCAGAAGCAATATTCGATTATTTCCATGTTATCGATTTTATACGCACAGTAGGTTAGCATCACGAGGAATTCATTATTAACATGCTTCGATAATATGATTTTCTTCAGTAAATTGAATAAGTAACTCAGCTGAAATGTATGCAGAGTGAAGAGAAGTTCGATGTTTAGGTAGGTGTCTCCCTCTCCCACGAGGCAGGAAACTATGTGCTTTATGTAATGTTTCATTTCTTCGGTTTCTTTCTTACCAAGGGTGTTTCGTCCTTCTTGCAGCTCTTCCAAGGGGGGGAAAGCCGGCTCATCGGGGCGATCCATGTAGTCTCCATCTTGATAGGCGCAGGCCACATTCTCAGAAGCGTAGTCCTCCCCATCGGGGCGACACTCCTCATCATGGGTGCCCCACTCCACTACGCGACCACTGCTATCGCTCACCCGATTGGTGTAATTCGCGCCACGAATTTCATCCGATCCGTCTGGCAACGCAGAATCGTTCCTCCTCTGCATGCTGTCGCCGATCCGCTTCGTATAAACAGTGTCCCCATTGTCGTAACAACTGCCTAATTCTGCGTAGCTGTTAGTGGGGGCCCCTACCCGCATCAGAGCGCGCACCTCTTCCTTCGAACCGCCTCCCTCACTTTGGCAGTTAAACTCTGTGCTATTATCAGACGTGTTGGACCTCCTCTCACTGTGATCCTCTCTTTGGGATTTCTCCACTCCGATTTCTTTCCCCTCCTGGAAGGCGATTTCCTCTTTTTTTTTTTTTTTTTCCTTTTTAATTTTCCCAAAAGGAAGTTATAAAATAGGAGGTAATTTGATTCGTCACAAAATGTGTACTCCTTCTTCCTCAGATGATAAAGTTGCATCAAGTTTATTTTTTCATTTCTCTTTTTTTCCAAAACGAATTTCATTAAGTAGCGGTGAAACAAGCTAACCATTTCGATCAACAGGTGAATACTCCTCAGACTTATCAGATTCTGATTCGTTGTTATAATTATCTCGTAAAATTTTACTGGTGCTTCTTTCCTCCGTCGGGTTGAATACTCCGCGTGCATTCTGTCTGCTCCTCCGCGTGGTTGCGCCTCTTCGGGTTTGCCTCTCCTTTGGGGAGAGGGGCACGCGCCGTCCGTGTGCTGAGGTTGCTCCCCCCGGTTGTTGCAGCGTTCGTAGTGGTAGTTGTTGTCGCTACCATGGTAGTGGTCGCACTGATCAGAGCCCTCTTCACCTCTGTCGGAGTAGTCTTGGCAGCCCACCCAGTCGCGATTGCCTACCCCATCGTAACGGTCGTTACTCTCCCTCGGCGGAGTGCCCAAGCGGACGTCCTCGCAAAAGCGTACTTGACTCGCCTTCCCACCCCCGATTTTCAGACTCTCATAAGTGCAGCTGGTCCCTCTGCACAGGACATAATTGTGTATCTTATTTTTCACCCTCTCGATTATTCCAACCCTGCTGCTGACATAATAATCACTGTGCTCATCAGGGGACAGTTGGCTTAGAACCCGTTTTAACATCGGGAGGGTGTTCAAAATTTTCGTCCTTATCGTCATGATGGTCGAAATGGTGTAGGTTTCCATCTCGACGTCCTGGCGGTCCTCTCCCACAGACGTCCCGCCTGGAGAACATTTTTTATTTGCATTCCTCGAACAAGGCGGATCATCTTTTGACAGAAAATTCCTATACACATTATGATCGATGTCTGACTTGCTTCTAATCTCGTGAATATAGGAGTCTATATTTTGAAGCAGATTCTTGTAAGCTAAAACATAGCGATCCAGTATACACTCTTTCTGCACATATTCTGTGACAACCAATATGACATGCTCACAGTTGTAGCATTTACAGGGTTCTTCCATTTCGAATTTCTTTCTCGAAATGAATCCTCCGACGTTTTGATAATCCCCCCTCCCTTTTATATCATCATCTTTGTTGTAAAACTGCTTCTTAATTATGCTCTCCAAATGGCACTGTCTATCTTCCCACTCGGTCATGTGGACCTCCATCTGTTCTTCTTTCTGCCTCCCCTTCGCCGCCTTGCACTTGTCTCTTGAGAAGAAGATTCCTTTCCCAAAGGGGGGGGAAAATAAAGAATAAGTATATCACCCGGAAGACGAAATCGAAAGACGAAAGTCGAAAGTCGTAGGCCGATAAAGCCGACCTTCTTTGTGATAATCCTTCTGGCTGGGGTATATACCCCTCGAGCTACCTCAAATAGGCCTACCCGCTACGGCAACACTTGTAGGATAAAGAAAAAAAAAACTACGCTTGGCTAAGTTCATATGACATGCTCGTAGTGGTATCACTTCATAAGGTTAAGTGTAAACAGAAGATAAAGGGAAAAAGAGCGGGCCTAGGTTTCATCTTAGCATTGCGACGACAAAGGGGAATTACAAAACGGTGGGATTCCCATCTCATTCCTTAACTGTTAACATATATTCTGAATGTGAAACGTGTGGGGCGACTTCGGGGAAGAATAAAAAAAAAACAGAAAAAAAAAAAAGAAAACACAAAAATGTGTGAAGTGTATGAGCATATATATCTGCACACTTCCAAACGCATTGCAAATCCTCGTTAAATTGCCCAGAAACGAGATGCCATACAAACACGCCACCGATAATGCAGACGGCCTGTATCCTTTAAACCCCTGTTTAGATAATCTTTCCAAAGACAATCGTTCTGTAACGCGGGGCACGTGCCTGCCTATTCGCTGCGCTGACCTCGCTCTGTAGATAAAAAAAAAAAAAAAAAAAGTCAAGCGGAACGTGAACCTCTTCACATCCTTCGAATTGGTCAAATTGGCAACAATTAGTACATTTTTATTTTCCTCCTGTGTGCTCCCCTACCGTCCCTTCTTTGCCCCCTTGATAGCCCTCGTTGTTGCCCCCCTTCTCGCCCTTTCCTTCTTCTCATTGCAACTAGGTCAAGCGACTGGGACACGGGCATATACGGACATATGAGGACATTTTTCTCCTTCCAAAAGAAAGAAGGTTATTCACTTTTTACACAAACGATTAGCAAAAATGGAAGGTGGGGGGTTACTCATTACGGAATGAAAAAAAAAAAAGAAAAAAAAAGTTATGTATGCATCTTTTGCCAACTGAAGGATGTGTTGCATATATACCACTGTGTCGAGGTGAAGAAGTCGTTTGCGCGCATCCACAAGGGAAAAGAAGGAAACTTCAGCCATATATTTTATACGCAAATATAATGTTGGCTTATCTCTCCCCCCTTCTACGGCAACGCATTATTTTTCCTATCAACGAGTACCACATTTATCTTAAAGACGATCTTCCATTGGGGAACTTTGTCCCAACAACAAAAAGGGGGAGAGATCGGCCAAATGAGAAGAAACGAAACCAATTTTCTTGTACCAAAGGGGAGGAAGCAAAGTCAAAATTTCCAGCAGAACTTTCCTGCGCGGTTAAACTCTCAACTTGCAAACGATGCAAACTGTAAGTGGCATTGAGATGTTTCTCCGCCGTAAGCTTTACCACTACATTATCTAGCGTAGAGCGTGTGCGGCGAGGCACATGGCGGGAAGGGCATTCTCCATTTAGTATACAGCTTTACATGCATTTAAGTAGCGTGTACGTGCATCCCTGCGCGGTATTCGCAAGTATATTTTTGGCGGCCATAATCTTTCATGGGGGAAGCCGCACGACCGTCTGCGCTCCTCCCTTTTTTCGTGCCCCCCCATGGGATCTTTCCATAGCACCTTTTATGGAAAGCGACTTTTTTATATCTCCTAAAATGACGCAGCGAAGAATTTTATTTTCCCCCCCTTGGTTGAAACGCTGAGTTTTTTTTTTTTTTTTTTAACCAAAACGTGACATTTTAAACTTTGCGCAAACTTTATGCGCAAAGATGTATCTCCCCAGTTATAGAGATGGTAACATAACTAATTATGTCATCACTGTGACCATTTGTGATTTCTCTTCTGCGCACCAGCAAAAGGGGAATCCTTTCTTTTTCTTTGAACCTTCAGTTTTAGTGATCTGTTCGCAACATTTGGTTTGCGGCATTTGGTTCACAACCTTCCCTTTTTGGTAGCCCCTTCTTAATAGCCACTTTTTAAGAGTTCCCTTGGAGCGATTTGCCCCATCCCTCGCCTGTAGCTGTACGCCAACGCGCACCTTCCAATGTGTCCACTTGATGCCAACCACCGAGTAGCGTCGAGAGCGGGTGCTTTGGGACAGTAGATTCACACACAGGGGTAAGCGCACAAGGGTAGAAACGAACAAAGAAGCGGCAAAAAAAAAAAAAAAAACTAACGTCAACGCAAACGGCATGGCGACGCAGAACAAAAACGAACAGGAACCAGTGGAGGATTTCGACCCTTCGAACTTGAAGAGAAAAAGTGATGGGTTCTTCTCCAGAACTTTTAAGAGACTCAAGGAGAAGCTACAGGAGAATGAAGTCGATGAGGGAGAGCCGCCAAAGAAGCCGCAGAACGAGCAGTCAGATCAACCGCCTGAGCAGCCTTCAGACCCTCAGGCCAACCTCCACCATCGTGTGCACATCTCAAACAATTTAAAGCAGAATAAAAAGACTAAAAAAATTATAGACGAAGATTACGAAAGGGATCCGGAGGAAGCGGGAGGGGGCGGCAAAAAGGGAAGCGATGAACCAACAGAAAACACTAGGAAGAAGCCCAAAAGTGTGAATAATCACCAAGGCAAAAGTGCGGCGAAGAAGGCACCGACGAAACATGACAGTGTAAAAAGCAAGGGAGATTTAAAAGTTACAAATCCGAATGGGAATGATGTAGAAAAGGGGACGAGTAACGAAAGAGAGTCAAGGAATAACCCTTCTGTAGAAAAGGAAGTTAGAAGCCCCAAGAGTGGTGCCAAGGAGAAGGGAGGTGAAGAGGTACACGATGAGAAGATACACGAAGAAAAGGTGGACGAAGAAAAGAAGGACGAAGAAGAGGAGGACGAAGAAGAGGAGGACGAAGAAGAGGAGGACGAAGAAGAGGAGGACGAAGAAGACGACGATGATGAAGACGACGATGAAGAGGTGGACGACGAAGAGGCAGACGAAATGAAAGGATTCATCGTGGACAGCGAAGAAGAGGAGGAGAATGATGACGAAGAAGAAGGCAAAAAGAAAAAGAAGAAGAAGAAAAAAAAAAAAAAAAATTATGATTATTTTGAAAACAAAAGCCTAGACGAAGAAGACCTAGAGCTAATCGCAGAAAACACAGGAATGCAAGTAATTAGAAACGAAAAAGACACGAAACATCGAAGATTAAAAAAGATTAAAGATTTGCAAGGCGGAGACCACGACAATGATGATGACGACGACGATGAATTGTATGCAATTACGGCAAAGAGCGATGACAAAAATGACAACAAAATCGAGCGACTAAGGGATAAAGACTACTTTATTGACGACAGCGAAACGACACTGAAGAAGCAGAAGGCCGATCAGAAAAACAGCTTGTTCACTTACGAAGAAAGCGAGTCTGATGCTGGAGAAAATGAAAACGACCAAGAGGAAGAAGAAGGGTACCCAATCTCGTCCGACAATATTTACAAAACAGATTCGTACATCCACGAAATTATTAGCCAAACGTTTGGAGACGTTAATGCTGTCCTGGACATCATTAATGTATCTCCTGCGAAGAAGAAGAAAAAATACGATTACGAAAATGATGAGGATGACGATGATGAGGAGGATGATGCGGAGGAAGATTACGATGATAACCACGACGATGACGTCCACGCGGGGAGACACCGTGAAGGCCATCGCGACGACAACCTGTTCTCTAGAGACATCCTTCTGGACGATGATGAGGAGGAAGGACCCAGGAGGATTAAAAAGAAGAAAAAAAAAAAATCGGTAAGCTTTTTCGATCAAATTAATCAAGACATGAACAAGAAGGGGTTGGAGGAGGACTCCGATTACGAGATGGACGCGGATGAAGAGGAACATGAGCGGTACGTCGCGGAGGAGGAAGAAGAGGACGACGAAGAGGACGACGAAGAAGACGACGATGATGACGACGATGATGACGACGATGATGACGACGATGATGACGACGGTGTAGATGATGAGGACGACGAACTGGACGGTGACAGCGACCGCGAGCATGATCGCCAACTATACGAGCGCGAATTCAAGCAAGTGTGTGACGAAGAGTACGAAAAATTTGAGGAATACGAGGAATACGACGACTTTGACGAATTTGACGATCTGCCCTACTACGAGGACGCCATAAGGAAGAGAGACAAGTATGGCGAGGGGAAAGGCCGAAAGGGGAAAATGAAAAAGGTTTTAAGCACCCTAGATGGGAGCGCCAAAGGGGAAGAAGAGGAAGAGGAAGAAGATGAGGAAGACGACGAAGAAGAGGAGGAAGAAGACGAAGAAGAGGAAGAAAACGAAGAAGAGGACGCACAAAACGAATTAGAAAATAAAACCGCCGTGGAAGCGAACAAGATGGACCTTTTCGGAGAGGAAGACATGACCGAGTCGAAGGAAAAGTCGG